GGGGGGAGTTGGGGGATGGGGGGGAGTTGGGAGTCAAAGAGCGAGGCCTATTACTGGATGGTAGTTGGCGATACGGTGTCCAAGGCGATCGTAATTTTGGACGAGTGATGATAGACTGTGGTCTCGATCGGCGGTCGCGTTGAGGGCGAATCGTACGCTCAGGCCAGAATATGGTTTCTAGCTCTCTGTCCGTAGGTGCGCTGCAGATACAGCGCACGCGCACGCTTCGCGCGCAGCTCCTGAGCGCGCATGGGCTTGGCGAGCCCACGTCTTTGCGAACGAGCACTCGTCTCCTCGTTCTCCATCTCTAAGTCGGCGTCGAGCTCCACCTGGTGGGAAACATGCGCGATCGACTCAAACAGCACTCGGGCGTTCTCCCGCAGCGCGCGGGCCTCCTGCTCTCGAGCCTCGTCAGCCTGACGCGCGCGGGCCTCCTGTTCCAGCATGTACGCCTCGCGTGCATTGCGAGCGCGAACCTCTGTACGTGTCGAGTGGGTTGTCTGCCCAAGAGCCGGCGTCGGGTCAGCCGCAGCTGGGGTTATGTGGGAGGATGGTGCCGGCGTCGGGTACTGGTATGGTGCCGGCGTTGGGTACTGGTTCGCATACGATTGCACGCCATAGTCGGTTCGGTTGTAGGCCGGGGCGTAGGAGTAAGCAGGAGGGAGAGGAACGGCAGTGTAATCGTGAATGCTCGCCACCGAGGGCTGGCTGTAGTTGTGAGGGGCGCAAGTAGCGGTGCGCTGGTACATGTTGCTAATCCCATGGTATCCAAAGTAGCCGTGTCCGTATGCGTTGGGGCCCACAGTATTGGCGTAGGCAAAGTCACGCGCAATAGGAGCGGGTGGCTCCGCGTACGTGCTGCCGAAGCCGCGGCCCTGGGTCGACAGATCGGTACTCATTGCGTGAACCGGCGGAGCCGCAGCTACAGAGATGACGTGAGGCCTTTGCGGGATCCAGCAAAGCTCATTTGCTACCTCCCACATGTAGTTGAGGACGCGCGCAAGGGCATCGCAGTGTGAGGGACCAAGGTTGATAATCATACCGGAAGATTGACGGTCAACCGGCTTGAGCGCAGTGCCGATTGTCATGATGTGGTCGCGCCAATCCTCAGAGGTAATGTTCACGTCGAAGCTGAGATCCATGAAGGTGTGCCTTTTCAGGAGGTTGAAGCGAGGACCCTCCAGGCCGCTCATATCCCACAACGTAGCAGTGGGTAAATGATACTCACGGTCTTCGATCGTGTTGTGCGCCAAGCTGATTGCGACGGCAGCAAGGCGGCGCTCCAAATCAAACGCTCTCCTTTCCGCCCGAGGCTGGAGGAACTGAAGGCGGAACTCTGATCCCCAGTGTCCGTCGATATCGTGGAGCGGAAGACGAGGCAAGAAGTAAGCCGCCGCCACGAAAGTTTCCGCTTTGCTCCAATGATGAATGAGAGCGTAAAAGTGGTGCGCCAGCTCGGGCGCTACCACAATGTGGCCGTCTGAAAAGGTGTGACCAGACGAGACCACGTTGTACGGGTCAAAGACGCCCGAGTATCCACAGTTCTCGGTGTACCGAGGGTTCCTGTGATTGAAGGCAGCCCTGTCCGGGTAAGCCAGCCGGTTGACGATTAGACTGGTAAACCAGACGGCCATGGCCATAGTGGCATGGTCATCGAGACTGGCCACGCGGTGATGCCACTGAGAGCGGTCCGTGGGGGGGCGCGAGCGAAGGGGCGGGGTACCCTTGACCAGGGGCGCTTGCGAGTTCTCCGTTCTGCCGTGAATGGCCTGTCGACCGGCATCGATGGGTGACTCCCAATGACCATTAGTCTGGAGTGGCTGAGGGGACGACGGACGCAGCTGCGACTGCGACGAAGGTTGGGTCGACTCTTGCAGCGGCTGCTGCTGCTGGGGCTGCAGTGTCGACGTCTCGGGCGCAATTGCCGCTGTCGCATTCGTCGTCGAGCGACTGGGGAGGGGCGTCTTGGCGAGCTGTTGGCTGAAGCTAAAGCCTGGCGGCCGCACTGGGGCTAAGCCGTGACCCCCAAAATAATGCTCCGGAAGGTCCTGAGGCGCCATAGACCAGCGGGACAACGGCTGCGTGGGCGGGGACGTGACGGCAGGCTTTACCTGGTCGAGCTTGATGTTCCTCATTGCCTGAGGCGGGGGCGTGTTGGCGAACATCATCCCATTGACCATGGTCCAACGTGTTGGCAGCGGCGGGGGCGTCCCAAAAAACCACAACGAGTCGCCTGAGCTCAAACTCTGAAACGAGTTTGCGCCGGTGTGAGGCCTCTCGGCAGCACGAGGCTGAGGGTTGGTCACCAACGAGTGACAAGCCCGGCGATTGATCCGGTTGTGGGGCGAAGGGATGACCGTTGAAGGAGTGCTATACGCTGAGAAAGAGGTTGGGTCCAAGTCGATTTCAATCGCCTCAATGCTGCTACGGTTGCCCGTAGAGTCACTCGCACGGATGGGAGCGGCATGAAAATGAGGAGAGCTAACAGGAGACGTGATCTGACTGATGGGCGCCGAGGGCGTAACGCTGCGCGAGACGGTCGACGGCGTGGGGGATGTCATAGTTGATGCGTCATGGGAGGCATCAGCGAGGCCGTTGAGGGACTTGTGCGACCGCCCCGGCCGCGGGAGGAGAATCACTTCCTCATCGTCCATGTCACCGACCGGCGAGGCCGACTGCGGATTGGATTTGCGCCAAGATGAGAGCAAACGAGCAACCTCGTGCTCCTCCCTCTGAGTTGGCGAGCAAGCGCATCGCGAGTAAGGCGGGCACATGTTGTCGCAGGTGCTTTTATGGGTTGCGCGTTGATGCAGATTGGTGGCACTATGTACACGTGCTCCGCAGGCAGATCGAGAAGCCTACTCACGCGAGTAGCTGGGGCGCGCGGTGCGACGGTGCCGCGGAAGCTGGCTGATATCACGATGTGATAGCCGGTTGACTAGGCGCTAGACGATTGCGTGAGCCAACGTTTGCCGGCTTCGTTGAGGTCCCCGAAAGGGGTGGGGGCAGGGGGACTCGGCCAGAAAATCGAGGCGTGAGCCACAGGGCCACGAGCTGGATTGGGGTGGGGAAGGGAAGGGGGGGGGGGGAATTGCGACGCGAAGGAAATGTGCGTGTTGCGCTTGGGAGGCGACTGAGGGGGCTCGCGGGCTCGCGACAAGAACGACAGAGAGCAAGTTGGGGCAAGTTTCTCTCTGCGAGTGATGGTCGATTATGACGCGTCCTCGGATCACACGGCGACTAGTGATCAAAGGGAGGGGGAGTCGGGGGAAGGGGGAAGGGGGGGGGGGATGCGGGGATGAAGCTCGCTGCGCTTGATTAGCTAGTGGACTCTGCTTTGGGCGATGGGCAGCGGCAAAGAGGTCACGAAGCAATGTGTTCGCTGGCGATCGCTGGGAGGCGTCAGAATCAAATGGCGCGCGCGCGGGTAGGGGTGACCGCTCAGTGGGTGGCAACTTACAGAGCGCGAAAACACTCCAGCAGCTACTCTTGCAGGAGGCGTGCTCCGCTTGAAAGAGCCAGGTAACAAACACCACCTCTTGGGGGCGTGCTAAGAGCGGAGCGGTGCCCTTGGGGGAGGAGGAGTGAGGAGGGAGGGGGGGGAGGGGGGGAAGAGGGTCGAGATGCCGAGCTTTTGAGACGAGAGAGAGCGGCTGACGGGGCTGGATGGAAGCACGCAGCGCGTTGTGCACGCTCTAGTCGCTCTAGTTGCTCGACGAATCGAGGTATCGACGAGTCGATGGGGTGGTTGACAAAAGAGGTGGGTGGGAGAGAGAGTTGCCAACGAGGAAATCGAGATGGCACGTTGACCAGAAATCTAGTTGGGGGGACATTAGGGGTACACAGGGTGGAGCTTTTCAATCTTTCATCCCTCTGCCACCCAATGACACCCCTTGCTTGTTTGTCCAAATAGCAATAAGGATGCAATTCAAATCAAGCTAATCGATGTGGTCACCTTCAATGTCGTGTTTACCTCACTCCCACCCAAGTGAGTGCAATTCAACCCAGACAGGATCAAACAAACTGAGACATTTAGTCAACTGATGCTGACTGATGCTGAGTCGATCGAGCCTACCCATACACCCAGCCACGCTCAACTCGACGAGTGCAGAGAGGGATGCAGTGACTGCGAGTGTGCACCATGTGGACCATATGGCATGCATTACGTTCGTTCATTACCTTGTACTCTTACCCGTCATATCAATTCAACTCGTGGGTCCCTCAGGTGTCATGAGCGCGTCCGCCCCTGATATCCCCCCTGTACCGCGTGTCCATCATCCATCTGAATATCTCGACTAAGCTTTCAACTTGAGAAAACAATAACGGCAATTATTATAACCCCGTAGGTGGCAATCACTATTACTCATACTAATCCCATTTGAATCTGACTTGTAATGAGGGCCTGCACCAGCACATGGTATTACGTCATGACGCGCCCCCCCCCCCTCCACGCCTCCACCTTTCGAGCTCACGTTACGCACCACTTGTCCCACAATCTCCACTCGCTCGACACCTTACGCCGCCTTCCCTCCCCTTCACCCACCTCGTTCCCATCATCCCCATCATCCCCATCATCCTCCTCGTCTCTTTCGTCTCCTCCGTTACCCTCAACCCCCTCCGTCCCATCCCTCCTCTATTCAACAATTCAATCCTCGATCTCTTCAGCCTTCACAGGCCTCATAGGCCAGCCACCCCTAAACTACTTGGCCTTGGTTCGTAATACAAGGTGAGACCTTGCTCCCTGCATCACGCCCCCGCCCGCTCTTGCTCTGGACCTCGGGACCACGCAACTGACTTTTCAAAGCGTCCAGCCATCATGAGCCAACAGCCGGCTCCTACCGACCCGGCTGCTCAGGCCATCGGCAGCGTTCCAAGCCAGGCCGCAAACTCGGTACCACCAGCCGCTGGTCCTCCCCTTCATTTCGCCGGCGGCAACCCCTCTACCGCCTCCAAAAACAAGAAGAAAAAGAAGAAGAAGAAAAAGGGAGCGTCTTCCATCTCCGTTCCGGCCGACGTTGCTGGTGATGACACAGGCGATGACGATGCAGAGGGCGACACTCCCTTGTCGACCCCCTTGGCAGATGAAAGCGACACCAGTGGCACTGGTGTACGCCCCGCTTCCTCCTTTGATCTTTTGGCCCGCCCTCTCTCGCCATCCAAAGAGGCTAGTCCTGCCATTGACAAGACGCAGCCAATCATGGACGCCGCCAGAGCTGAGACCACTCCGGCTGCGTTGCGGGCGGGTAGTGTCCAGCGGGAGGACATTGGGAAACTGGCTGTCGTGCTCGACGGCGCAAGTGTCGAGACTGCTGAAGAGCCTTCGGCCTCCGTGAAATCTAGCCCCACGCATCGACTTGGAATCGAGGCGGTCGACCCTCAGCTCTCATCTGGTGCGCCGACCTCTATTGCTCACGAGGTCGAGGCTAGCAGCAGGGCACCTGGCCTCACATCCTCAATAGGCATCGCCACCGCCACCGCCACCGAGACTAGCGACACCCTCGCTGGCGAAGATTCAGCGGAACGTCCCGTTGCATTGGAGAAACAGGCTCTGGCGGCATCCTCAAAGCCGTTGCCGCCCTCGGGGACGGCACTTTCATCCCCTGATGCCGAAGTGTCGCGCCGCACTTCCCACGAACCCTTAATGTCCGCGCAAGATGAGACGTACACGCCTTTACTCCCTTCCGAGATCGAATCGATCGCCTTCGACTGTCCAACGGTAGTCGATGTCCTCGAGGGTGGCGTCGACTCTGCCGAGGCACGCGCCGACGATGTCACTGTCCCCGAGATGCCCAAGGAGCTGGGGCGCGCGTCAGCACTCTTCGCCGATGATGCAGAGCTCGAGGCTTTTCTTCCCGACGGCCCCCCGTTGGAGACATTCACACCTGACTATCCCCCTGTCCCCCCGTCATCCCAGCCGCGGACGCAAGTCGATGATGCGGTACAGTCCAGGCCAGCTCTCATTAGCGGCGTTGAGGACGGTACCAGTGCATTTGACGCACGGTTTGGCGACAATGCTGGAGACGAGATGGTGCCCGAGACAGCGCCGGAAGGGGATGACGTGCCAGTATTCGCGCCCGACTCTCCACCGGTTAAGCCTGCCTCTGCTGCATCGCACGGTGCCCCGGCACCGGCTGAGCGCGCTCTGGCAGAAGAGGATGCCCCCCTTGTAACCAGCGCAGGTTCCCCGACAGTCTCTGTCAAGTCGCTTGACGACGGGAAGGCTTCGTCGGCGTTGCCTTCCATGCCCACTGCCGCCCAGTCTTCCTCTGCTGGCGCGGCTGAGCTGACGCCCATTGCCAGCACCAGCATCGACGTCGAGGAAGACGTTGAGGACGTGGCAGGGTTGGGGCAGCCGAGCGCACCGTCCCCCCCTGCCCCCAAGCAGGCAGGAAGTGTCGCACAACTTTTCACCGATGATGAAGACGCAGGAGCTTTCTTCTCCGAGCTTGGCGACTCACCCGTGGCCGAGCCACTTGTTCCAAGCCCCTCCGCGAATGCCAAGGACGCGGACCAGTCTGAAGCGGATCGCCAGTCGGGTGCGCCGCAAGTGCAGGCCTTGTTTGCCGACGATGACTCGTCTGGCTTCGACATTCAGCTTTCTCACGATTATCAGCACGTACCGACATTGTCCACCGAGCACTCTAAGCCATCGGCCATCGGTTCTTCGGCGGCAGATCTCTTTGCGGATGACGAGGAATTCGGTTTCGATATAGGCAAGCCATCGCCAGGGGAGGAGCAGGACAGAGCAACAGCTCGCACGGACCTTGCCCCCACTGCCACATCGGGTCGGCCTGCATCTCAGCCGGCGAATTCGTCTGACGTTGGCAATCGTTCTCTTCAATCCATGTTTTCGCAAGACAAGTCTGAGACAAACGACTGGTTCGTTGACACGAGCCTCGACAACACGCTTGATCTGGGTCGCGCCGACCAGGCGGAGAAGGACGAGCCCATGGCCGACAGCGAGGACCTCGAGTATGACGAGTCGCAGGTCCCTCAGGGCTGGTATGATGACGACGGCGAGTTCCAGTGGTATACTGAAGAGGAGCGCCGAGACGTTCGTGCCGCCTTGATTGCAGACGGAAGCCTCGTAGGAAAGCCTAAGGCGAAGGTACAGGAGACCACTTCAGCTGGCGTACTCGAAACTCAGAAGCCCTCCTCGCAGCCCGAGACCAACTCTTACGACCCCTCTGCCTACGAGCCTCCCAAGCCGTACTCGGCAACAAGCCCGACTGGGTCGTACTTTCGCCAGCAATCTATGGCCGTTGGGCCCACGTCGTCGCTCATCACGCCCGCTCTCGCTGCTTCCTCCTCCTATGCGCCGATCGCGTCACCTTACGCCCCTGCAGCTCCGACAGTCAACCCCTACACCCCTGCAGTCGCATCCCCTTACACGCCGGCCCAGCCATACGGAGCTGCTGTGCCAGCTTCGTACAATGCTTATACCCCAACGGCGTCCTCTCTGGGCGCAGGGTACGCGAGCACAACTCCGGCAGCGCCTCCCGTGCCAAAGCCGAGCGCGCCTGAGCCGCCGAAGCGCATGAAGTCGACAGCGTATGACCCCCCTCTGCGGCAGGCCAAGAGCTTTGTCGGGCGTCCCAAATCAGCTGCTGCGCCTTCCCTGGCCTACCGCTCACCCGTGGTCAGCGAGGCTCCTTCCGGTCCTCCTCCTGGTCCCCAGCGCTCTCAGACAGAGCGAGCATCAGCTTCCTTGTTGTCGCCCCCTCAACCACTGGCCCCCAACTTGCCTCGACCTCACTCTGCCGCTGAGCCAGTCACCAATCCGTACGATCCGCAGCCGATGTCGTACGAGCCTGCAAGCTACGCCGTGGCGGAGAGATCGCTCTCCCCCCCTGCCCAGGCTCCTCCGCGTCCATCAACTGCGTCAGCCGCACACCCCCCGAAACCGACCTCCTTTGATCCTCCCCTTCGTCCGACGACGTCACGCCCGTCCTCTCGACATGCGTCGCGCCCCAATTTCCAGCAGGCCCCGGTCGCAAGTCCGTTCCCGCCCAGCGAAGCCGCACCCCCGGTGCCCACCATCCCGTCGCAATACGCAGTGCCTCCCCAGCAAGACTCGTCTTTCCAAGCGCCAGCTACCACCCAGGCGACGATCGCACCTCCGCCGCGAGGGCCATCCCGTGGCGCTTCTCGTTCACGCGCCGCGTCGCCCAAGTTTGAGAAGTTTGAAGCGCCACCGCCTGTTCCGCCAATTCCTGTCGGGCTCAGCCACCCCCCTCGCGCTGCATCACCCCACCGCGCTTCCACCCCGCCCACCGTGTCTTCTAGAGCACCGCCGCTGCGTTCCCAAACCCCTCTCGGAGCGCCGCCCCGGGTCACGTCCCCCCTCAAGAACGAGTTGCGTGCCGACAAGTCTCCTCAGCGCCGAGCGATCTCATTGCACGAGGATTTCGACCCCGAAGGCGGCGCTGAGGGCTGGGATGAGGGCGAGAGCACTTGGAGCCAGCCGCCACCCGTGCACTCAACCCCGAAAGGGACGGTACACGACATCTCACTCACATCCGCTGCCTCCCCCCCGCGCGGTTCCGAAGCCGGCTCACATGCCTCAGACTGGGATGAGCACGTGTCCTCGCCATCAATCGAGGGAGAATCTACTAAGACACCCACCGCGCGCCGCACGGAAAAGCCGTACGGGCCCAGCACTGCAATCCCGCCGATGCCGCCCCACGCTTCGGCATTTGCGCAGGCAGCAGCCTTGACCGACCCCACTACACCACGCCCGCCTCCCCAGCGCACACAAAGCTCGTCGATCGACAGTTCGTCGATGCCTGGAACTGCATCACGCCAGGCCACGGATCGGGCCACGTACCCGGCTCGACGCCGGTCCGAGAATCAATACGCCCAGGCCCAAGCGGAGGAGCGCAGTCCTTACAGCCCTTCTAGTCCGCAGAAGGCGCCGGTTGCGCTAAAGAGCTCTAAGGAGACTGGCTCGTCGTATGTGCCCGGCAGCCCGAAGAAGAGCACACCCTTCCCGTCCTCGCGCCAGATCTCCACCGAGAGTTCCAGGCCGCGTCACCAGTACACCGTCAGCAACCCTTATGGCCCTTCACCTACCCATACGCGCGATAACTCGGTGGAGGATCCTTATAATCCTTACGCACAGGCCCAGCCTTCCAGCTCCTATGCGCCGTCAAGCATTTCGCAGCGGAAAACTCACAGCCGCCAGTCTTCGGCCGCGCAGGAAATCTACAATCCCTATGCGCCTGCGGCTGGCGCGGGGCAGACACACAGTCGCAATTCGTCCGTGCAGGAGCCGTACAACCCGTACGCGCCGACATCGGTGAGGGCAGATGTGTACAATCCGTATGCGCCGGCCCCTGGGTCACCGCAGAACAAGACCGATGGTAGCAACCTCTACTCGCCCCAAGTCCCACAAACGCAAAGCTCGTTCGGCCCCTACGGCGGTGGCGGCGACAGCTTCAATCCGTATGCGCCGAGCAAAGGCTCGCCGCAGCAGTCTTTTAGCAGCATTATGGCCTCCCCACGAGCGCCGGGTGGCGCAAACCGCCAGTCGACACTTGACCCGTACGCGCCGACCGCGCCAGGCAATGACATCTATTCGCCCGGCGCGGATGGCTCTTCCCAGCGCGCTATGTCGCCTCCTCAGCCCAACTACTTCCAGTCCATGGGCTCCCTCGACCCCACGTATGTGCCGCAGCAAGTCCTCGAGCAGCGCCCGGTCTCAGAGGATCCCCTTGGTCGGTGTGCTCCCGATGCGCACAACATCCCACTCGCAGTGTTTGGCTTTGGTGGTGTGCTCATCACCAAGTTCCCCGGCACCGCGGACGATGCGGCAGACGCCCCTTCATACGGATATGCGTCGCATCGCGGGCTCGTCACCATCCGCCCCGTAGGAGAAGTGGCCGAAATCAGCGCCCTGTCCACCAACGCGGTGCCATTCCCAGGCCCTCTTGTGCTCGATCCCGCCACGCCGAAGGGCACAGCGGGCGACAAGAAGCGACGCGACGCTGTACTCTCGTATCTCTCCGCGCGTGCCGAGGAGATAGAGCGGGGTTTGCCATACCTCAAGTCACACGCGAGCGCAAAGCGTCGCGACGAGGAGGCGAAATTGGTGATGATTCGCATTCTGACTGCGCTGGTGGAAGGGGATGGGCGGCTGTTTGGAACAGCAAAAGCTGAGGATGCCATCCGCGCCGCTTTGCAACCGCCTGCTACCGTGCAGCCGGTGCCATCGATGAATGGATTGGGCGAGAAGCGGGCTACGGCAGCGGCGCCGAACCAGTCTCAGCTGCTTCAGCTGTCGAGTATGGTTTTGACCGGTGACAAGAAGGAAGCGGCGCTGTACGCAGCCAACGCCGGCCTGTGGGCACATGCGCTGGTCCTGTCGAGCGCCGTCGGGCCGGATCTTTGGCACGAGATTGTTTCGCGCTTTTCCAAATCCGAGCTTGGCCACGATCCCAAGACGGCCGGCCTTCAGTCGGCCTACTCGGTTTTCGGCGGCATCACACCTGAGACGATCGACGACCTCTTCTCGGCAGCCAACATCACCGAGGATCCGAGCGCGGATCAGTGGCGCGAGGTGGTGGCGGGAGTGCTCTTCAACAGCAAACCAACGGATCTTGTGTGCTTCGACGACCTCGGCACTCGCTTCCAGCGTGCCGGCCTCCTTAACGCTGCCCAGGTGTGCTTCCTTCTCTCGCCGAACTCGCCATTCAGCGACATGTCGCAAACGGCCAATGACCGGCCCGTCAAGCTCGTCGACAGCGCCAGAGATGAGGACGGCGCCATCTTTGCTGAAATTGCAGAGTATGCGCGCAGTCTTGTGCCCACCCCCAAGGGCGCTGAGGCACACCACGTAAGCCTTCCGCAGTTGGTGCCCATCAAACTCGCGCGCGCCTGGCGTGCCGCCGAACTCGGCGAGCTCGAACAAGCTAAACGCTATTGTGAGGCGATCGAGGCATCGGCCAGACCCTCCAAACACGCGAGAACGATGATCCCCCGGCACGTTGCGGCGAGCATGGAGGATCTGCTCGAACGCCTCACTGGCGAGCCGTCTACTTCCCCTGCCAAGGGGCTGAGCATGCGCAAGAGCAACAAGTCGCTGGGCTCATGGATTGAGGGCCGCCTTACCAAGTTTATCGCCGGTGAGGACGATCAGCAGCCCGCCAAGCCGGCTCCTGAGCCCAAGGAGGGCATTCCTGTCGGCCCCTTCAGTCACTTCGCGTCGATCTCGCCTGGACCGAGCGCTGCCCCAAGCGCTGGAGCCAGTAGAGCTGGGTCATACGTTGAACCTGACTATGCGCCAACAGTATCGTCACACGACTCGTCGTACCGGCCTGAGAACACGAGCTACCAGCCGTGGGGCGAGGACGACAGCAGCACTCCCCAGCCCGACGACAGCGGGCTTATCAACCCGATGGCCAACATATCATTGGTGCCAGCAGTTGTCTCATCGCAGGACGACTACAAGCCTGCGGCCAAACCGGCGGCGTTCGATGAGGACGACGATGATCTGGGCTTTGGCAACTCGTCACTCAGCCGCGGCCGCACGCCTAAGGCTGAGCTCAAGCCCGAGGAGGAGAAGAAGAAAGAAGAGCCCAAGGAAGAGAAGAAGGAAGGGTCGAAGGGTGAGTCGCGAATTCGGGAAGCACGGCTAACATCAGCCGAGGGCAAGGGCTGGTTCGGCGGATGGTTTGGTGGCAAGAAGAAGGATGAGTCCGGTCACAACTACACCAGAGCAAACCTCGGCGAGGAGAGCAGCATGGTCTACGATCCCGAACAGAAGCGCTGGGTCGTCAAGGGAGCAAAGGCCGCGCCGTCCGCACCAGCTACGCCCCCTCCGCCACCGCGGGCCAAAACTGCCTCGCCCGCCGCTGCCACCCGCGCAACTCCTCCGCCAGGCGGCTCGGCTCCCCCATCGCGGTTGTCGATGGGCGCACCATCAAGATCGTCGCTGTCCGGGCCATCCGGTCCGCCAGTGAGGATGACCCCGTCAGCTGGGCCACCCTCAGGGCCGCCGTCCGGCCCGCCCTCCGCACCACCAACGGAGCCGCCGTCGGGCGCGCCACCGTCGCGCGGGCCACCGCGCTCCGCGCCTCCCGGCGCTTCGCTTGACGACCTCCTCTCCCGGCCGGCGAGTGGAAGGCCATCGTCCGCGGCTGCGAAGAAGAAGCGCGCGGGCAACAAGTATGTTGACGTTTTCCAGGGTTAGTTTAGCATTATCATAATCCCATGCACGGATCCAATCAGCAGCACCGAGGTGTGGAGTGAATGATTCACAAGGGCCATGAGGATATCGTCGTGTTGACGATGGAACGGTTCAAAGTCAGATTCAGCTTCCGGAGCGGATATCAGCGGAGGCAGATCTAAGGATGTCACCCCACTTGGTTCCGCGTCAGCGAGAAGAGGGGCGCGTCTCCACAATGTCAATAATATTGTAGGCCTTCCCGTCTCTACCATGCCCCCTCGCCGCGCCGCCGCAACTGCCGCTGCGCGAGCGTTTCGCGATCCGCCACGCTCCCCTTCCCTATCGCCGTCCATCCACTCAGTCTCGAACGAGAGCGATTTCGCGCCAAATGAGGCCGGCAGCAGCAGCGGACCACCCTCTCTCGCTTCACGCGCAAGCTCGCCATCGGCATCTGAAGCGGAAACGCGAGGGAAGAAGCGCAAGCGCGCTGCACCGCGTCCCATCTCCAGGGGCGCGATTGACATTGAAGACTGCGTTCCACGACATCACGGGCCCGAATATCATGCCGTGGACAACGTTGCGCGCGAACAGCAGAAGCTGCTGGACTGGTTTGAGGGCGTCCGGTGAGTCGCGCGAGCTTGCAGTCAAGCTGATGGAAGCGACGCCCGCGGAATGCCGTGGCGGAAGCGCTATGACTCGAGTGCGACGAGCGAAGAGAAGGGACAGCGGGCGTACGAGATTTGGGGTGGGATATGGAGGGGAGGTGGGCTGATGTCAGTCTCAGAGATTATGCTCCAGCAGACGCAAGTAGCCACCGTCATCGATTACTGGAATCGCTGGATGGCCAAGTGGCCGACGATCGCGGATCTCGCGGAGGCAGACTTGGAGGAGGTCAATGCTGTGTGGCGTGAGTCGATATGGTTGGCAAGAGTGTTTCCGCCCTCTCGACGGGTCGACGGAAATCTAAGCGGCTGACGCCAGGTGGTCTGGGTTACTACCGTCGTGCCAAGTCGTTGCTCGAGGGCGCCAAAGTTGTTATGAACGATATGACGTGTAACCGTAGGTCAGCCGCCAGGTTCTGAGCTGAGGCCAGATGGCCTGCCCTCCGATCCGGACACGCTGGAGCGCATCATGCCCGGCGTCGGGCGGTACACGGCCGGCGCGATTTCCTCCATGGCGTTTGGCATACGAGCGCCAATTGTGTGTTACTCTCGTTGCGCAGCAGCTGACGACAGGTCGATGGCAACGTCCACCGCGTCTTCACCCGCCTCCTCGGCGTGCATGCGCCCCAGGCGGCGCCGGGGACCACTAGGTTTCTCTGGGACGTCGCGGAGGCGTTAGTGGACAAGCTTCCACGCGGGTTGTCGCGCGGCATCGCCGGCGACTGGAATCAAGCCCTCATGGAGCTCGGGGCGACGGTGTGTCGCCCAGCGCCGGTGTGCGACCAGTGTCCGCTGCGCGCGGCATGCAAGGCATACGAAGAGGCTGAGGTAATCTCTCACGTTGAAGCGCGCTGACGTGCCACAGCTGTTGAAGGTGCCCCCGCCGCCCAGAGACATTGAGTGCACCCTCTGCGAGCCTGTGCCCGGCAAGATGGCAGTCACAGTGTTTCCTATGAAGAAAGCCAAGAAGGAGAGCCGCGTGGAGCACGAGGCGGTCGTGCTTACGGAGTGGATCGGCGTGGACGACCGGAGATGGCTGTTCCTCAAGAGACCCGAACAAGGTAAACACCGAGTTTAGGAAGGGAACCTTGAACTGACTTCAGGTCTCCTCGCCGGGCTGTTCGAACCTCCAACTATACAGGTCACCGGAACAGGGGCTGTGGACCAGCTCTTAGCCGGGCGTACATTTGTGACCGACCTGCTCGGCGACATCGAGGACGCTTTGGAGGAGCACACCGCCATCGCACCCGTGCCACATATCTTCAGCCACATCAATATGACGTATCACGTCCAGCGGATCGTACTGCGCGGCGACCGGCCTAACCCCAAGCGAGGCGAGTGGCTCTCGTTGGAACAAGTGAGGGACGCAAATGTGGGCACGGGCGTGAAAAAGTGCTGGGCTAAGGTGTATGGGGCGTGGGGAAGCGGCGAAGTTGGCCAGCGTAAGGATCTCGTGAAGAAGCAGGCCACGAAGGCTCCGCTCAAACGCGTCAAGCGCGCGGACGGACAGATTCCCGGAAAGAAGCGTGTAGTAACCATGCCGACCGTGCCGAAGAGGAGGCCAAAAACGCGGCAACCATCGAATGTCGAGGTTGAGGAGAACGTGGAGATAATCGTCGTAGATGGCTGAGATGGTACATTTCCTCTTCAATTGTACCGTGGTTTGTAAACGCTTAGAATGTATTCCGAGCTCGTAAGCTCATCCACTCTCTCGACTGACTGTCCTCCACCGACCGGCCTCCACCGAATTGCTTCCGCTCCTCCTTGAATTGCCACCAAGCAGCGCGAAAACACATCCACAACACATCACACTTCGTCTCGCTCGTCTACAATGGCAGAATACGTGACACTCGACACGTCTGTCGGCTCCTTCACAGTCGAGTTGTACACCAAGCATGCTCCAAAGGTTAATCAGGCCCTAAATAATGCTAATTTCCAGACGTGCAATAACTTCCTGAAGCTTACGGAGCGTGGATATTACAACGGCGTCATCGTGAGCGATGCTACCTCCGGTCACAACTGACGTGCAGTTCCACCGTATCATCCCAGTAAGTGGGCTATGCAACTCGGGCCGGCTGCCAAGTCGCCGCAAGTCGTCGTCTTTGCTCCACGCCCACGGAAACGTTCGTGGGTGCTGACGACAGGGGTTCTGCTGCCAATCAGGCGACCCGACTGGGACTGGGCGGGGCGGTACAAGCATCTACGGCGAGAAGTTTGCGGACGAGCTGAGCCCCGAGCTCAGGTTTGTTGGGGCGGGGATCCTCGCTATGGCGAACGCAGGGCCAAATACCAACGGTGAGGTTTGCTGAGTCGGTGGAGCTGACCCAAGGCTCCCAATTCTTCATTACTTGCGTGAGTCGGGAGTGGGAGAGTGGGCGCGCGCGCACGGAACCAGAGCAGGATAAGAAGAGGCAGAGAAGGGAAGAGAGGTCGATGACGACAAGAGAGGCGGAGGATTGGTGCTCAATGAGAATGTGGCTGCTGACTCCCAGGCCCCCACCCCCTTCCTCGACGGCAAGCACACGATCTTCGGCCGCGTATCTTCAGGCATGAGCACCATCAAGCGGCTAGAAGCTGTGCGGACAGACAAGGACGACCGTCCGGTGGAGGAGATCAAGATCCACAAGGCGCGGCTCGGCGACGCGACGCAAGCGAACGCCATCACTATGGGATAGGGCCTACACGCGCTTATCCTCGCTTTTAGTCCGAGCAAATGCATGCCGCGTACATGCATACCAAGCAGATACAGTACAAGTATTACAAGCCGAGAACGCTGTTGGCGGTCAGACGTACGGCGCGCTCGCCAGCGCGCATGTCTTGTGCCACAGGGAAAGCGTCAAGACCCATGGCACGGCGTGCGTCGGCACCCTCAATGTCAGAAGGAGTGCCGGTGCCCTTGAACGATGCCTCGCCTTCTCCACCGGGAAAGTCGGGCGGCGGGCATCGCGCCTCGAAGCAGGCGCGCTGATCGCGGAGGTATTCGGCGTTGAGGCGGGTGAGGGGCACAGCAGGAATGTACATGACGGCGCTGGGTCCCGCGCCCCGGTGGACACTCTCGACGGCGTGGATGACGTCGGCGTGCCACCATGCTTGGTCGCCTGGCCGGACTCGCGGGATAGAGACCATGGTCCGGTCCAGCTCAAGGTGCGGGTGGGAGGCGTTGTTGAACTCTTGCGAGCGGCCGAGGGGAGCCTGGGGGAAGACGGCAGAGTCGATGTCGAGCTCCCAGTTGTCCGCAGCGAGGTAATGCTCGCGGGACACAGCTGATCGGGGAGCTTTCTCGCGGAAGAAGGGGCGCAAAAGAGTGTACGCGGTCATTTCACGGACGAGAGGATAGACGCGAAGCGTTCCCTCCCCGGGTCCAGTGTCGGAGAGAGAGGTCCAGCCCTGGAATGCGCGGAAGACACCACAGGCGCCTGCGCCGTCGTAGAGGTTCTGGTTGGCGCGGGCGCGCTCCTCGAGGTTGTATGCATCGTACTCCTCCCATCTGCCCTCGAGGATGCGCGCGTAGACAGCGCGGTACGCGGGGTCTTCCCAACGCTCGACGCTCCCGCCATCCATATGCGGCCCGAGAGCGAATTTGGCGTCACCGGGGTGCCGGACGCGCAGGCGATCCGCATACGATACTGGAGTCAAGGAGACCTCGGCGTTCTGAGGGAGCGAGAAGAGGGAAAGCAGGGCTCGCTGTATAGCCAAACTACGAGGGTGACCTCGCGCGGCGAGCTGCGGCTTGGACCAGTACACTTCGAATACTTGCTTGTCGTCTGCTGGGAATCCTCGCACCTGAGGATTGGCAGCAACGTACGCCAAAACCTGCTGGAGCCAGGTTTCGGCCTCGGATCGGGGAATAACATTCTGAACGACGGCGGTGCCGCAGCGCTTGATAGCTGCAATGGTCGCGGGGTCGCGGGCGAGGACCGAGTCGTAGGAAACTGTGGGCACGGCTTTCGTCCCGGCGCGCTCGATCTCTTCCGCAGCGCGGGAGAGACGGGCGGTGAGAGTGCGGAAGGAGGATACCATGCGTGCACGATTGGACTCATCACCCGCAATGACGGACTTGAGGTCTGCGAATCGCTGAGGAAGTGGAGTCTCAGCCTCTCCGGAAAGGGAGGCAAAGACAGACCCAATCTAATATCAGCGCTGCGGGTGGGGCAAGTGAGGACGAGCGAGGGTGCCCGAGAAGCAGAAGGGCAGGGAGGCCACCGTAGAGTTCAAACAGCAGACAGCAGATCAAAGAACAAGACAAACTTACATCTCCCTCGGCGCGCGGCTTGCGCGTCATGGGCGGCTGGGGCGCCGACCGCTGAACGTGGACCTCGGTCGCGAGACCACGGGATCGCTGAGCGACGATGTTGGCTCGGGCGAGCATCTGAGTAGGTTGAAAGCCTCGGGATGTCCTGAACATGGCAAATAGTGTTGAGAAGAACTGGGGAGAACGTCTGCACGACCACACGCCCTCTCTACTACTTATATCATGTCGGTTATCCTTCGCACTGGGGTCACTCGAGTGGTGCAACTCCACAGACGACAAACATAATTTAACAGATCAACCCCGAAATGACTCATGTCCACTGCCGGCGGTTGCAAAGTTTAGCAGATCAGCAGACCTCACAGCGATTTTGGGACATGCCGGCGCTTATACGCCTAAACGTTTTGCAGATTAGCAGACTAACCGAGGAGATGGGGAATCGCTGTATCTGCTTGCGTGTTTCAATTGTACACATTGCCTCTCCACAGAGATTTGTTTCTGCAACGACGAGGTAAAGAAACCGTCCGTATTGTATATTGTATATTGAGATGCAAACTTGATCACCCACGTGGCCACGTGAGGATATTCTGGGGCCCGCATGCTCGACCCCTAGACGCATACTCACGATCAATACAATCCTCATCGGATCGCCATGTTTCGAAGTCTTCATCTTCATTTCTCCACAATCTCCCAGTCACGAGCTCACGAGACTGCCCTCGCTTTATCTAACTTCAATCGACGCCCATGCAATTGTATATGTGGCCTGACAAGTCTTGGTGCCCAGCAGGTCATGAACAGGCTGCCAGGCCGCTGTCAGCCGCCGTTGGAAGTCGTTCGGGGATGCTGATCGTTGAGAGCGAAGCCCCCTGTCGAGCTGCCGAGCTGTTGAGCTGTCGATCGTCTGAACTCTGCACTTGTGGAGAAAAAGTCACGCAGTCAGCGTCAATCTTTTCTTGCCTCGCTGACCAGTCGCTGGAACAGAATTCCTTTTCTTAACACCACCACAGCTCTCACCTTTACAGAACATCCCAATGCCGCGTCTACCATCCAGCACTGACAGCGTTGACTCCAACACTGCTCCCTCCCTCTCCTCTTCGCCTGACCCTTCTGCCTCTAATTCCTCTTCCTCTCACACTCCCTCCTCCTCCTATGCTAGCGCCACTCCCTACGCACTCGCCTTCGAGACCGCCCTGCCCAATATGCGCCTGCTCGCTCTACCGCGCGATCATGTAGTTCAAGGGTTATCACCTACGGGACTCCAGGAAGTTTATCTGCAGTACGAATACGAGTCAAGGGGTGGCGAGGGCGCCCGTCCCGTACGGCGACATGCGTATCAAACCCAGCTTGACCGTTCGGGCCGCAAGCCGAACGAATTCGACCAGCGGTTCGGGCCTCTCGTGGATGCACTCACCGGGGGCAGTCCAATGACATTCGAGAAAACCGACTCTCATCTCGTTTCTCTCGTGACAAAACTTTGTGGCGCCCTCGCAGACGGATCGGACGGACCGAGCGGCGTCCACCGGGTGGAGATTTTGCAGCAGCGAGAAGATCTTGCATCGAGGATGCGTACCCATCGGCATGCACCTCTCGAGCAAGACGTCACCGCGACCATGCGGGGACTCTTTGAGCTGGCTAACCGCCTGTTCCATGATCCTACGATGTGGGCGGAGCAACCCGACATCGACGTTGGCTGGTGTCTGACTCGCTCGGACCAGAAGGCTTCGCCAGATGCAGCGTTGACCCGCGGAGCTCTCAATGAATCCCCAGCAGCGGCGTGTGAGCTCAAGCGCCACTCAACGGCTTTCATTGATGTCATCGTCGAACGTGGCAATTTCGAGCTCACGTTCAGCAATGGCCGGGCTGACGTGCGTGGGTTAGCGGTAAGTGAGAGTCAGATCTACTTGATAGAATTGCTTACATTACTCGTACAGATCGGTGCCATCCAGCGGCTACTGCAAATTATTGGTGAATTCCAACTCATGCGCACCGGAATCATCCTCTTTGGCCATCCCGACCAAATGATGGTGTTCGAGTTGGTTAGCAGGACGCACATTAAATACTGCGCTCCAGTGCCAGCAACGGGTCGCCGCATTGGCAGCCAGTCCGGCGATTCCAGGGAATGGCACGTCCACCCATTCACTCTTTTGCTTGCTGCCGCATTTGCAGATGAGGCGCCGGTGGAGGCGTTGTTGTCGGAAGAGCACGTGTTATCTCTCCTCTCGCGTGACGTCAAGGCGCCACAGTCAGGGGTTTCGGCGATAAGTCCCAATCCACCCACGTCATCTCTTCCGCCTAGGCGATCAACACGCCTTCCTTCACACTCACAACCATCAACAATGGCCGACAACTCAACCATCACCACCATGCCCTCTCTTCACGTTGAAGCATACAAGGGGCTCGCAGGCTACGCCACCCGCGTTGAGCTCCGGAATGCCTCAAACCTCGAGTTCATATGCCTCATGCCGCCGAGCCCCGCTGTCCTGGCTAATCCCATCCCTATCGACGAGCATCCGTCGCCAACGCCTAGCATCTCCTCGTACGGTTCCCACAACAGCACCACGGGCTCAACCACATCTCAGCGCGTACCCTCACTCGTCTATGACGGCTCGTCGGACGATGAGCAACGCGCGTCAACACGATTCCTGCCATTCACACCACAGCGTGATGACGAACCGATGCGCCCTGAGCTTCCCCCCTCCCCCTCTCCCATCAGCCGCAAATGTCCACCTCCATGCCTAAGCGATCGTATGCTGGTCGCCGACCACCACCCCTGCTCGGCCCGGGACCCCGCCCAAGGCGCGTGCGCCATGCCCGAGCGTGACTTTCAGTCGGCTCTCCAGACCGAGTCTCCTACCGCCTGGAGCTTGACGCTCGACGAGATGCTTGCAGCTGGCAAGGAGTTGGACACATACCGCGCGACACTTCGTCTGCCGGACCAGCGCTCCTGCACTCTCATCGCCCACGCGACCGCGTCGCTACAATACCCTGACGCGGCCGGCTTCTTCGCCGACGAGGCAGACACGTTTCGGCGCCTCGATCACCTCCAAGGACGCCAGATTGCCCGCTGTTACGGCCTCTGGAGGGGGACCTGCACACTGCCGCCGCTGTCAGGTATCCCAGAGCGATTGTGCGTTCTCGACATCCTGCTCACCGAGGACCTTGGCGACGCCGACCTTGGCGATATTCTCTACGACGACCCGCGCGCAGCGGGGCGCTTCCTGTCAGTTGGCTCAGCGGATCTCTGGGTTGATGCTGACTGCTTTCAGAACCGCATTCCCGGCGCTCATGGACGAGATTTGGCGCGCGGGGGCTGTCTCAGCAATCGGCATTCCCGATATGGACGGCATCTCGGTGGTCTCCAATTCTGCGCCGCCGATTCTGCGCATTAGTTCCTTCCCCGACATGGTGTTCACAGGCGAGCCGCACTTCGATAAGTTGGCCGAAAATCAGAAGGGCTGGTTGGACGTCTGGGTCGAGCGAGCGAGCCGATGGGCGCCGGGCCCTGCTGGATGAGCTCTTGGTGACGGCTGAGTGGCGAACCTGAGCAGTCATACTTCTGGCCTGCTCTAGCCATCCACTTCCATTCGCCAAGCACACGGACAACCCCTGCATATCTTCCGACTCCAGCTTATCGGCGGCGCCTTCGGTATTGTTCCCACTTCACCTGTTACAATCACCAGAGAGACGCGTCTCCGGCCCACGCTGTTCATCGACTTCCGGTCACCAAGCACACGATTGACCATTCCACACCTCCCGACCCTCGTGGCGTCGTTCTTGGTATTGTGGCCACTTTACGTGTTTACAGTCGCCGCAGATGACTCGGCTATTATAGCAGGATGTGGTACGTGGTCTATGCCATTCTCAACAGGCTCCCTCAGTGTCTATGGGAGCTTCGAAGATGCCACGTGCAGAGACGTGGCATCGACGACATTCCGGGCTTCTCCGACCAAGCAGGGGTCCACCCGGCCTGGGAGGCTTCTCAATTGTACTCAGAGCCCCGCCATTCATCTAGGATTTGGGTTCACAGCAATTGGGGCGTGATGCAGGCAGAGTGCAAGAAGACGACCTTTCCCCCGTTGCACCTCCTCCTTTTCCGCAGGTGTCGCTCCTGTTTTCAACCGTGTGTCCTCACTTCCATGGTTCGCATTCCCTCAAAAGATTGGGTGTTGGAGGCTCCCCTCTTTACCCCTCAGTGCTTGCTCGGCACGTCGCTTGGATAAACTTGAATCGCTCTGTTGGGTGCGCTCGGCCAGAAGATCGTGGCCAACCCTGCGTCAACCCTCATCAACGCCCCCACCCTGCTGCGGGCCGCAGGATGCGTTGCAGACGGCTTGAAGCAGCACTCAGCCTCAAGTGGCTCAGAGCAGAGCAAATACACGCTCGCTCACGCAGGTAAGGCTGCTGAGGCCGGGACACGTCCTTTTCCCCCGTGTGATACGTCTCCTGTTGTCAATCTGCCGATCTCTCGGAACGCGCTAATCCAATTGTGCCTGCCAATCACTTTTCTTATGCCTAACTGACACAGCATTGGTCGAATACCCACTCCCGACGCGTCCAACAGAGCCGGTCAGCGGGTCCCGGCCCAACGGCCGAGGGCTAAACCCTCGTCGACAGCGGGTGCGCGGATGAACAGCTAGTCGTCCTGAGGGTTGACGTTGTTGCCTCGCGCCAAGCCTCAAGTGGTCCATTTTCGGACCACTCCGACATTCGTGTCCTGGCAGAGGCGTCGCTGGGGGCGACAAACAATTGAAGCCGTCGCCGCCGCCGCCGACGCCATTGCACCTGCTTCTCTCGCACCCAAGAGCCACCCCGTTTCCATGACCAGTGACAGTGTGCAGGCTGTCAAACGCCGAGGCCGGCGCTTGAGCTTGCTATGCTCATCATGTAGCGTGACAGTCCAGCGTACAGACAGACCAAGATTGCCCAGCGCAAGCTGCAACTCTATTCCGGCAGCGGGACTGCACTCAAACGCGTCTTTCCCCTTGGTTGTGTCATGGTGCTTTTTGTCGATCGTCGAGGTCCAGCTCCGACAAACAAGAAGGTTCAGAACATGCAGGGCTGGATGCACTCCAGGAAAATCGCTTCGGTCACCCCCCTGAAAGCCTGAGGGGGCTGCACAAATTTCGCACATGACCTGTTCCGAAACGCAATTCAACGCCCGAAACCCATTTGTTGGCCAATAATGAGCCTCCCACTCCATATCTGATAGGATCTATCGCCACGGCGCCCGGCATAGGAACATCAGTCTTCGGCCGGGGTGGTATGGCGGCACGTTGATAGGCCGTGGTGGACGCGACACACGCGTAGCCGCAAGACGCGCCTCGACCCTTTTCCTGTTTGCACCTCCATGGCAAAGCTTCACTATGCTTACGATGAGATGGACAGTAAACGAGAGTCATGTTAAAGAGTGCGCAGCAGCTGGCTGATCCCCCCGACCCACAATGCTTGTCTGGAGCGCACTCACCGTTCTCGCCGCGGCGGGCCTCGTGCCCAACTCGGCGGCGTCCGACATCCCCAAGATCCGCCGCCTGATGGTCGACAGTCGTTTCATCTCGATCATATCGCCGTGCTCTGTCGGTGGGCGAAACCGCAACAACGCCGCAGAGTGGCTGCGCACTGCGTTCCACGACGCTGCGGCCTACGACTCAGCAACAGGCACCGGTGGCATCGACGGCTCGATCCAGTATGAGTTTGGTTTGTGAGTTTCCGGTGCCGCGTGCCCGTGCCGCGTGCCGCGTAGTCGAGGAGATAAGATCTGACAAGTCCAGCTCCGACAACGCGGGTGTCACATTCCCCTCCACGATCCAGCAGTACAAGTTTTTCCAGCAGGAGGGCGTCACTCTGGCCGACCTCGTCGTGCGTCATTGCCATACCCATAATTGCCTGAAGCTAATACCAGGTCCTGGGCGCTACGGTCGCTGTTGGGGTACGTTTACCGATAACTGGGAGGTTCACGGGTAAATGCTAACTCCAGTCTTGCGGTGGTCCGATTGTGCCCTTCCGCGTCGGTCGCACAGATGTCGGCGCCGCATCGACTGAGGGCTTCCTCCCTAAGGCTGATGGAACGACCGAAACGCACCTGGAGATCTTCGCCCGCATGGGCTTTAGCCAGACCGAGGCTATCACCCTCGTGGCGTGCGGCCACACCCTCGGCGGCGTGCACAGCAGCGTCCACCCCGAGCTGACGTCCGAGGCGCACGCCTCGTTTGACGGCACCCTCGCCAACTTTGACAACGAGATTGCCAAGCAGCACTTGAACAAGTCGGTGCTCGCCCCGCTCAACGAGCCATGGGACCCCGCCGCGCCCGGCCGCAGCTCGGACGCGCGCCTCTTCAACAGTGACAACAACGCGACCATCGCCCGCCTCGCCACGTCCAACGACGTGTTCGTGAATGCCTGCGGTGCGGTCTTCGCCAAGATGTTTGACACCGCCGTCCCCGCCACGGTCAGCCTCAGCGGGCCCATTGAGCCCTTCCCCATCTCCGGCACCCTCCGCCTCTCCCTTCGCAACGGCGTCTATTCGACCTCGCTCGGCGCATTCCGTGTCTACGACATGGTCGGCCAGTGGTCGAACCTCCAGGTCACGTACACGAACCGCGACGGCTCGCCGGGCGACCAGAGCCGCATGACACTGCGTGCGCCTCGCACCCACAGCATCGGAAAGACGATCGAGATCCAGGACTTTGCCATTAACAACATCCCGCCCGCTACTGGTCTCGGTTCATTCGTTGCCACGCTTACAATGAACGATGGCTCCGTCTTCACCGCCACTGAGGGCGAGCACATCATCCCCATTGATGACACGGTCATTGTCGACGTCGGTGCCGCCTACACCTGCAAGTACTCAGGCGAGGCCAACGACAATGCTGCGGGTCTTAACGTCACGATGGTTGTCCTCGGCCCCTACAACCCCGCGGATCAGGTGTCCGTCATCGTCCGCACAAACAGCGGCGACAAGCTCAACATCCGGGCCACATACCGCCGCGAGCGCGATGCTTACTATAACTTCTACAACGTCTTTATTCCCGACATGAACGCGATTGACCTCATGACGTTTGGAGCGCAGGTCATCAAGGCCGACGGATCCGTTCACAGGGACACGCGTGACGGTAGGTTGTTTGATCTAGTTCTTTCTGGGACCGAACTGACCCCGTCAGACGTCTACTACCCCACAAGTACGCTTAGCAACTGCGTTGCCGGTGCCGAGGTGCCGCCCCCCGGTCCCACGCCCTCGGGCACACTCACCCGCCGCCGGGCGCCCGTTGACCCTCGCAAGCGCATCGCCAATGCCGACGTGTCGTGCCCCTCCGGCTACACGGTCTGCAACGAGCGCTGCATTAACCCACTTACCGACCTCGAGCACTGCGGTGGCTGTGCGGGAGCCGGCGGCGTTGACTGCACCGCAATTGAGGGTGCCGAGGACGTGATCGCCTGCATTGCTGGAAAATGCGTGCGCGGCGACGAGTAGTTTGGGTTCGTTAGGACAATGCATAGATTCACCAATTTTCCCTGTTGAGCAGCCACTCGTCGCCGTGGCGTCTTACTCTCGCAACAGCTATTTTTTGTGGCACCATGCCCACCCGGCACGCTTCCTTCGGAGCTCTAAAGCCTCGCACTAATTTGCAGTTTGTGCCCAAGGGCGCAGGACTACTCTGGAAATCTGTCGCACGGCCTCACCATGCCTTGGACTGGAGCGTGTGTATCAACCGCTTCCGCCCCCCGTTGCACGACTAGAAACTGGTTGGAAGCTCACCTCCGCAACTCCGCGTCTGCCAGCAGTGGGCGTTGGGAGGGACGAACGCACCAGACTGTCTAATCAACGACTGCCCTATGGTCGCTCGACAGCGCCAGCCGATGAGGTCGGAATGGGCAGTGATCCGACGATAATGGATTCAGCGAGTCCCCGTCTTTGATCGGCTTGAACAGGCAGGGCGGGTGCGGCTGCACTCCAGCCGAGGCACCTTTGGGTATCAGCCATCGGCTTTGGCTGCACTTTCCGTCAATGCCCTAGTGAGCAGTTCCGCGGGGGCACTGCACTGCATTGCTGTGCTCCGTTGGAGGTATATTAATCGCGGATCTCGGAATGTCTCATATGTTCATACATGCTCCGCACGATCTGGTAGTCTCGGTCCTACAACTTGCAGGTCAGAGCCACTCTCCGCCTGCACGACGATAAAGCCTTGGTGCATGCTGGACGTCCACGAGCGCAGTGACGTCACATCCACCCTTTGCCGGTCGTGCCGAGATTATGGCGTTTTAAGCATCATATCGGAGCCTCTACACAAAAATCGTTCTTGTTGCAACAGAAGTGCTCCTCCGAGATGTCTGCATGCACCTCGGCCGTCTGCGTCACATTCCGATCAGTGACTGACCTGCACCGCCTCGGCGTCATGTGTTCGGAGCGCCCACGTTGCTGACATTGTCCGAGCGCCGAACCCCCTGCCAAGACTCGGCGTCTTTGGGCGCATTCGCAGACAGACATGGCGCGCGCCGTGCCTCGGCTTCATCTCTTCTGAATGCGTCTCGAAAATAACAGTTGCCCAAGCAGCTCCCCCACTTCATTCTGCATCGAGATCCGTCGAGTCACTAAACCGGCATCCCTGCACGGTGCCCGCATGCGAACGCCTCATACCGGCTCCGTGCCCACAGTGCCAAGCCCACGCCACCGGGCAATTCCAGCACTGCCTCGAGATCCCGCACCACATAATAAACCGTTCTTTCAGTCGTCCACTTAACAAGCAATCATTCAACCCGTCTTGTGTTCCAAATTCCTCATTCACACACTCCTTCACCCCCTCATCATGCTCCACCTCCTACCACTGCTCCTTGCCGGGGCGGTGGCGAGTCCAGCGCAGCGCCTGGCGCCACGCCTCTCCCCACCTCTCAACCTCACCGACATTCCCATCACATTCCCGAACAAGACCGCGAGCATTAACATTAGCGTCGGATCACCACCGCAGGTTATTCCCGTGGAGCTCAGCCTCGCTTCGGGACAGCTACAGCTGTCGGCTTTCAAGAAGCAGGACAGCAGCAGCTTCCAGGACAACCCGCCTCGCGACAACGTGCAGATCGGCGATCTGACCCTGTACGGATGGACGATCGGTGCGCTTGTGTGATGTAACTCTGGCTGACAACAGGCAATGAGACCAACGATGCAGGTCTCGGAGGCACACTTCCCCTCGGTTTGGTCAACCGCGGAAACAGCAAAGACAACACGTACCTTCTGTGGTCGCTGGCCGACCAGATCCCGAGCAAGACGTTCGCCCTGACTATTGGGCTTGACAATAGCACAATAAGCTTTGGCGAGGAGAGTTCCGCCGCCAATTGGTGGAATCCCATCGAGGCCGCGATGGGCGGGTGGGCTTTCATCATCGACGGCGTGGCTGTCGACGGCCAGATGGCGGGAATTGCGCCAGCCCCTGCCCCGGTCGGTCAGACTGTGACCTTGAGTCGTCCGGCCGCAACGGCTTCCATTGTGCCAGGAAGCGCGCCCTCCTTGCCCGCTGAGGTTCCTCCGGCAGCCCCGTTTATTGCGGCCGCGAAACGCCAGGCGACCGCAGCCGGCGACACCCGCATGCCAGCCCCGACTGGTTCCTCGTCTTCAGGCCCCCTCCCCCCGATGGATCCTAACAACCAGTCATGTGTCGCCTGCACTCTTGAGTACAAGGTGTGTATGTGTGGCGAGGGCGAAATGTGCCGCCGTCACGAGGCGACGTGCAGCACCTGCCCGTTCCTCGAGTGTGTCCGCAACGGCACGTCCACCGACACCGACAATTGCGTCGCCTGCCCTGCAATCTACCGCATGTGTGACTGCGGGCCGGACGAGGACTGTGTGCGGACTATGGGCACGTGTAGGGAGTGCGAAACGGTCACGTGCCGCAAGCGCGGGAGCGTAACACCTGCCAACCCCCAGTGGGAGGAGAAGCCGGATAATGGCAACGGCTCGGGTACGGGCACGGGCACGAGGTCGGACACGAGCACGACCGTCGGGCCCGCGGTTCCGTACACGTCCGGCACGGTGCCCACCGAGAACAAGCCCAACTGCACCAATCCCGTCATGTGCCCTGCCATCTACCAGATGTGTTCGTGCCGCGCGGACGAGACGTGCGTCCGCAAGTCGAGCTGTGACCGGTGCGAGTGGCTCGAGTGCCACAAGACACCGAAGCCATTCACTGATAATGGGCAGTGCGTGCAGTGCGCCGAGATCGAGCCTGTATGCGACTGCCCGCGCGGCGCGACGTGCGTGCGCGAGCCCCGCTCCTGCACCGACTGCGGGCGCGTGACGTGCCGCGACAACTCCAACCCCGGGGTCCGCCTCGCTCTGAGCCTGGACGACGAGATTGCCGTGTCCCCCGAGGTTGCAACGGCGCTGCAAAAGCTCATCCCCGGCATGGTTGCGCTCGGAAGTGCGAGCGGGGCAGAGAAGCGCGCCCCGACGGTATCAGTCACGGCCACTGCGGCCAGCGCCGGCGCCGACAACACCGTCGGTGTGTCCGCCACCCCGCCATTCCGGCCCCAGGGGAAGACGTACTACAGCGTGCCGTGTAACACTACAGCGAACATCACGCTCGTGTTCCCCGGCGCCAACTACACGCTGCAGGCCAAAGACTGGGTCGTGCCGCAGCAAGACGGTTGCCAGGCACTCCTCGTCATGCAGGACACATTCTTCTACGATGTGATCCTCGGCCGCCCCTTCCTTCGTACCGTGCGCGCTGCCTTCCGTCTCAATGACACGGCGACGGTCGCTTTCAGTGCCCGCAACGCCTCGACGGGCGGTCTCAGCGCCATGCAGGGCACGTCTGGGGCCGGGGTGCTGGGCGCCAGCCTCGCGTGTGTTTTCGTCGCACTTGCGGCTGCTTGTCTGTTCTAGTGACGCTTGTATGGTATTCTTGTGTATAATGGACATCCATTGTGTACGCTGAGCGTTAAGACGGGCGTATCGCGGGCTCTTTTCGCTCGCTCACTGACATTTCCCCCACTGGTTCATGGCGAGCGCCTACAGAGTCCATCGAATGATTATGTACTGAAGCTGGCTACAGCGTCAACAGTATCCGAGAAAAGCATTAGAGTTCGTCGAGCTTGGTGAAGCCGATCTTGGGCTCATCCTCATAGTAGATGGCGGTGTACACGGTCTCGAGAAATGGTGCGCCGAGGAGGATGTCGATGGAGGAGTCGACGTGCTCGGTTTTCGGAACGAACACACGAGTCTTGCACATCTTGTTGGACGTGCGGCGCTTGTCCACACACGGGATGACCCACTGGCGGGGGGGCAGGTCGTACATGACATCCTTGAACTTGAAGGAGATGGTGCTGTTCGTGTCGCAAGGAACTTCGTAGCTGCAGCCGTGCTCGAGGCGTGCCACACCTGTCGACGACTCCACCGAGGCAATCTTGTCGTCGTTGCTGCGCGTCCCGTGCCACTCGGTCGACACGGCGCCCGGGACGAGCGCGAAGATAGCCTCAGCGAGCTTGGGGGAAATCTGCAGAACGTCACTGGCAATTTCGAATCGAGCGGTGAAGGCGGGTTTGTCGTTGTTGCGCGAGTACAACGCGGATCGGCGGAAGTTGCGGTACACCTCATCTGGATCGACGTATCGCCGGTTGACGTAGAGACCTGCACTGGCGGCAAGTTTCCTGGTGCGCACGACCTCCTTGGCCGAAGCCCGACGGCCACCCCTAACTCGACCCGACCCGCGCTGTCGCGGGTGAAGACCGGTGTCAGACAGCTTTGAAGGTAGCGTGAATCCGATGATGGGGGCGTCGAGCTGCTTGACAAGAGTTGGGAAGAGTGCCCCAACTTCGGCATTGGATTTCGTTCCCAGACCGAGTGCGAGCGAGCCGACCTGGCCGGTGGAGCCACCAAACTCGGCAGGGGCGTAACGCGAGTCGGCGTAGGCTAGAGTTAGCGAGAGAACGGTGTGGAAGACACATACCGAAAGCTGTCTTCTCGAGGCAAATACCGCCGATCTCGAGCTTCTCAAAGGCCTGGTCGAAGGGACAGCCGATGCTGCCTTTGCGCTCGAAGGTGGGCGAATCCTGTGGGCGAAAGAAACAGCTGTGACCGTCTTTGAAGGAGCCAAATACCGTGAGGCCGTTGGCCTCTCCCATGGTGAGGTAGACCGAGAGATCCTGGTTTCTGGTGTGAGCTGTCAAGAAGCAATGAGTGCACACCCAATCTTAATGTTCATACCAAAGCCTGACTCGAGACTCGTGAGGCTACGTGTTAGCGCGGAGCCGCGATGCCAAAGGTGTAAAGCCCACCTCTGGGTCTGGAACTGTTGCCCTTCATTGTTGCGCGGGAGGCGAACGATTGGGAAATCGATGGGCCCGGCGGTCACCGAAGCCACGAGGACCACCAGCGTGGCAAAAAGCATGATTCGTCGTAATGCCTGAGGTCGTACTATTATGGTGAGTCGTGAAGTCGTAAACGCGAACAGCTGTCGGGGTATGAGCAGTGGATGGGAGGTGGGATACAGAACTCGAGCAACCTTGCAACATTATATAGGCAATGGCCGAGGGCGTAGGTCGTCGGGCGAGGCCGGCAGCATCTATGTGACACAGGCCCGGCGGTGCGGAGCGTGCGGTGTGCGCCGAAGAGTTTTGGTGGCGATGATGTGTTGGAGGGGACGGCCGTCGCCCGCGGAACAGTGCGAGAATTCCAGCCTCACACAGCATTTGTTGCGACCTGTGCGGTGCCGCCGATCCGAGGGCGACGGGCATCTGGGCAGGGAGGGGGATGGGTGGGACTCAAGAGTTAGGATGGGAGACAGCTAGCGATCGTGAGACGATGGGCCGGGCGAGGTTGAGTTGCGACGGTTAGGGCGACGTCGAGGCGCTTATCACACACTGCAGATGATGGATGGCTCGCGAAGCTTCCCAACGGATCGGCGGATCCACAGGATTGTTCGATGAGCCCAGAAGTGATCGGCGGCCTGCGTTTACGCATGTCCGCAGTGATATACCGCAGCCTCATCGTTCTCGTCAGTGATGCCGTGGAGTCAGTCTCCAAGGGCACTTCGAATACGCTGAGACTTTGGTTATCAATGATAGCAGTGACGTCCAGCACTTCATGCCTCGCCGGCCACCGGAGCCTGAAGTGTCACGGAGCATGGCAACATGGAGAGGACCCAAGCAGTCAAGCTCAGCAGGGCTTCTGCTGACAACCACGGGTCAAAGTTTCCCATCTTCGCAGGACTGGCTCGCACCGAGGATGCGAACCGCGTGCCTTCGTAGCCAAACGCGCCACAATGTGCGGCAGGCGTAACATGTCGCTGAGCGGCGGAGTGCGATACACAACCCAGAATGCGCTGTTCTCCGTCAGTTGGGGTCAGCTCATTGCGCAGCGCACAAGTCAAGATGGGGCGGGGTCGCAGAGAAGATGAGGGCAACGCTTGCGATCGCTTCATCGCGCATCCTCCTGGCAGGCTTGGAGCTGGAACACCCTCTCGGGGCGCATCAGCGTAGCGTCTCTCATGGGGGACAATCTCAAACACTCCATACCCACAGATACCCGCTAGAGGTCTTTGACGCCCACCTCGCCCTGAAAGCGAGCGACGAAGTGCTGCGAGCAAAAGTAATCTTTTGCGAACCACCTGAGCAGCCACTCCGGCGCTCTCCACACGCCCAGCCACCCCAGATCAACGGAACCCGCACCTATGCCGTCGCCGGGGCCGCCGCGCCCCTCGCCAATCGGCACGAGGATGCTCTGGAGAAACCCGGGCGCGTAGGCCTTTGCCGCGGGCGGCCGGCCCTGCGCCTCACACGCGAGATGGGACAGGAGCACCATCGCGAGGTGCCGTGCTTCGCCGACTGCCTGGCCCGCCGTCTTGCGGCCGCCTGTGTTCGCCACGTCGCCGAGGGCGTATACGTCCTTCAGGGCGGGCGCGGACGAGAGGATCCGGAAATTCGGATCGACAGCGACGTAGCCGCCTACCAGCGCTGTCGGGTCCACGGCAGAGACGAGGCTCGAGTTCGGCCACGCTCCAGAGCCGCCAAACACGCAGTCGGCGTGGACGGTCTGTCCGCTGGCGAGCGTGACCGCCCGCATCCCGGGGAGAAGACCCTCACGCCCATCCCAAGCTGGCGGGTCAACTTCGCCGTTAACGACCGCGCCAGTGTGTTCTTCCGAGGACGGGAATCGCACACGGTCATTGAGGATCACCTCCACTCCACGCGCGCGCAGTTGCGCATCGACGCGTTCGCTCACGCTCTCCGGCACGAATGGATATGCGTATGGAGTGTGCACCCCATCCGTGTCCGGCTGAGGGGCCATCTGCGTGCCGAATGGCACCTGCTCTCCGGTCTCAAGCAGCCGTGAGCGGCCATGAACGATGGTCACCTGCACTGAGGGATAGTGGGTTGTGAGTTCCTGCTGTTAGTGCGGAGGCGCTCCCCAGACTTACTCCAGCAACTTCTACTCCCACCGCGCCACCACCCACGACAAGCACGTGCGTGGCTTTCCCGAAGCCGGCCTGTTCCAGCCGCAGCGCGTCTGCGTACTCGGCGCGAGTCGCCCCCGGCTCGGGTCGGAGAGGCGACCGCTGGCTGGATCCCGTCGCGACGATGCATTTCTCCTTTTAGCACTGGGCGACTCCCCATACTCACGCCAAATGGCACCTCTGTCGAACCCTCAAACTCGGTGTCGAGCAGCACCCGCCCCTCCAGCAGCTCGAGCACACGCACAGGCGCGAGGACGCGGTGTCGCGTGCCAGCCTTGAACACCGTCTCCTGCCGCGTCGGCGCGGTGAGGTTCCGTTCCTCCCATCCGGGCTCTACGAGGCCGCGCACCACGCCGGGGAGGTGCGCTGTAAACTCGTTCTGCTCGACGAGGAGGATACGGTGGGTTGCTGGGAGCTTGTGCGCGAGTGCGTTCGCGAGGGAGTGCCCGGCGAAGGAGCCTATATCTTGGTGAGCACCCGAGTAGCGGTGCACAGAACGTACCTCCGATAACGACGATGTTATTCTCTGCCATGCTGCGAGCGGAAGACGGAGAGGGGGATGCGGAGGAAGAAGTCGGAGCAGGCGAGCATCTCAACGTTTATCAGATAGCAACGTCGGGATAGTTTCGGCCGATCACACGAGGTAGCCGAGCACCGATCTGCGGTTCACGGCACCGCAGCATCCTCACCTCTGGCCGGTGGTAACGTTGGCAATCGCGGCACCATGGTGCTGTTTATCTCGACCAATTCTTGTGAGCGGAAGTATGCTTGCTGTGGAGGACGCTCGCGACCAAGGCGGCCTCGATGCCATACGGGATTGTCGACACAGGTCAACGCCGTGCCATGTGGCCTCCGAGCGGGCCGACAGCAGGCTTGCTGGGCCACTGTTGACTGTTTGTGAGCTGTGGAACGAGACCTAACCTTCGTAGCGCAAGCGAGACTCAATCACCTTTATCGAGTTGCTCGAGTGTTGTTGAGCCTGCATCTTGTCTTTGCCGACGTCCGCCTCGAGTGATGTCGAGTGGAGGTGGAGGTTTCTACTTCCGTGTCAACAGCATTGAGATGCACCATCCCGACGCAATCTTCTGTCCTCGTCCTCCACCCCACCTCGCCGCATGATATCCCTCTCCTCCCTCGTCCCGCTCCTCGGCCTCCCGCCCAGCGCGGAGCTCTCCGCATCCCTCGCTCGCGCCCTCTCCCCGGAGGCCAAAGCCGCCAACATACCCGAGATCAAGACATACCCCGACGCAACGTACCACAACTACTACGCGCTCGGCGTGTCGCTGTGTTTCCGCCCCGCCTCCCCATCAATCCTAGTACTGGACAGCATCGACATCTTCAACCCCCCATCCCCTTCCCCTTCCTCCTCGTCCTCCACCACCTCACGCTCTAAACCGACATACGCCCCCCCGCCGCCCCTCCTTCTCCCCTTCGCGGATCCCGAAGTCGTTCTCCCCCCGCGCAAGGGCGAGGGGGAGGTGCGATATCCCCGCCCCGATCTTGTCGTGGTGCGCGAGACGACGGGGCGCGAGGTCGTGCGCGCGCTCGGCGAGCCCAGCCGTAAAGGCGCGGGCGGGTGGGTTGGCGTATGGCTTGAGTGGGTCGTGGCGCTCAGAATGGGCGAGGGGCGCGTCGAGGTAGGCGTTATGCTCGAGCTGTCGGATCCGAAGAGCGATGGGGAGGAGGCCAAGGCGAAGGGCGTGGGCGGGGTGTGGGATCGCGCAGCCGGGTGGCCGTGGGCGAGCATCAAGGTGTTCCGGCCGACGAAGAAGTAGAACTCCTTCGACAGCGCGGGCACATTGACAAGCGTGTGCTCCAGGTAAGCGGACGTCGGTCGTTTGTTGTTTACTCCAGATTGACTTCTCATTGGCAGCTCCCTTCCTCGCCTGCCTCCCTCACACACTCGCCCCACACCAGCACATTCTACACTATGCATCTTCTAGTCGCATTCTACACCCCATGTATACCTCTGCACGACGAACACTATGCCTGCTGGCGCTCGGCAGGGAGGTTCTCGATAGCCTCCTTGAGCTGCGCCTCACTGAGAATTTCATACCCCTTGTCGAGGGTCACCTGCGCGAGCTGGACGTTGCTCTCGTCGAGCTTCTCCTCCATGACCTGCTTGAGCACCTTGAGAGCCAAAACGTGCGCCTCTGCAAGCGTCATTTGCTGCTGTCAGCTTAACCTTGGTGGGTCACCCTACCTTGTGGTACGCGTCCTGGAGGCTCTGCTGGGCAGCATCCGATCCCGAACCGATCGCCTTGGCCTCGTAGCGCACAAATGTCCCGGAAGGGTCGGTGTGGTACAGTTGTGGGCCCTTCTCGTCGACACCAGCAATGAGCAGTGCCACGCCAAATGGCCGAGACTAGTGTCGTCAGTCCATCCAAACTTCTATGCTCACCATCAGCGCGTCGTCATCCTCAACCGACTCGCCAAAGCGCAGCGCCAGGTCGCACACAGCCTGCGTACAGCTCTCAACGCCGATTTGCTCGTCGTATGTGAACGCGTGCATCTGGCTGGTCACGCGGGCGTGGTCAACCATGGTGCGCGCGTCAGCGGTGAGTCCAGACATGGCGCAGCCAATGTGCCGGTCGATCTCCATAATCTTCTCAATGGACGAGCTCTCCAACAACGGCGACTGCACGCGCTTCTCGACGCCCAAGACCGTCCCGTGCGGCGTTGTGATGCCGACGGTCGTTGAACCGAGCTGGTCTTAGCGAGGTGCGACAAGAGATGTCATGAAAGGGGCTCACCTTGATAGCTTCCATGGCGTACTCGACTGAGGTTAGCAGAGGTTTAGCCATGAGCGCGAATGCTCACCCTGGAAGAGACGGCCCTGTTTGTTAGCCTAGTCGAGTGGAAGAGGATACGAGCTTACCTCTGGAGAGAAGGTGTTGACGCCGCGGTCATATTCTGAGCTGGGAGGTTAGATGGACGCAAAGTCATTGAAGCTTACCGAGTGAGGAACATGGTGGTGAAGTTGGCCGAGGAGAAGGAGAGTGGAGTCGGAGTGATGAACGGAAGCGGGGTCCTGACAGCGCGTTCTTGGGATGTCCGAGCTGCTCGACGAGTGAGACGATTGAAGCGACGACGGCGATGGGAGAAGAGGAGGAAGGGTGTTGTTGGCGGTGGTGGAGAGGTGACGGAAGTGCATGTCGCGTCCGCGCAAGCGCAAGCGTCACCGCCGAATTGATTCCGTAAACTCCAGTTGGATTACCTAAGAGCACATGGACTCACGTGATCTTATCCGAGTCAGGGGGTGACCGGGGGGTGTGGAATGTTGCAAGGGGCAGATATGAGTAAATGACATCTATTATTGACATAATGCATTAGGAAAGCCGGCCTTGAATTACTAGTAGTAGTAGTGATAGATTAGCCGGGTGCGGGGTGAGATTACTCAACTCTCGCCGCCTCTCCGCTTCGTTCGTGAGTGTCGCACATCGCATCGTCGCCGCTGCTCAAAGAAAACACAGTCTTCATCCGATTCACTTCTCACAGCCTCCCTTCGGGCCCTCGCGCTCCCCCGCGCCCGCGCCCTCTGGCCCTCTGCCCAACGTGTCATCCAGCACACGCACCGCGCTGTCCGCCGCCCACGCATCCCGCGCGCCTACTCCCGCTCTAGATCTCCAACCTCTCCTACCTCTCAATTGACTCTGGCTGATTAACACATACGTACTTGACACAAACAAGAAGCTATTCAACTAGCCTCCTCTCGATCCCTCTTCTCTTTTCCCATCCCCTCATCCCACCTCCTCTCCTCTGCTCAGCACTGCCCACTCCCTCATCTACTCTCCCATCCTCCTGCTCCAGCGCACGCACTTCTCCCCTCCCCCCCTCCCCCCCTCCCTCGCGCCTCCCTTCACCACCACCCGCCCATTCCCGAGTCACCCACCATCTGCGCAACTTGTCACTCCCTGGCTCTGGTGCGTCCTTTATCCCTCTCACTATCAACAAGTCACTCATATCAGCCCCAGAGGCGCCTGCGCGCCCAGGCTCAACATTCTTCCTGAGCCTGCTCTCAGCCGCTCTCTGGACCCACCATGGCAGAGCCGCCGGACGAGGTGGCCAACTTCCTGGCTGAATATGCTGATGTCATTGCGCTCCTAGACGCTGAACCCCCCTTGGACCTTGGCAATGACAACAACTACAACAACAACAACAACCCGCCAAGCGGGTCCGGCTCGGACTCCGATTTCGAAGTCTTGGAGGAAGCGCCGCCGCATCTGCGCCGCGCTAACCCTCCTGCCAGTCCCATCATGGTCTTGAGTGACGATGAAGACGGCGAGGAAGGTAATGACCTTCAACCTCGCGCTCACAAGCGCGCCGCGAGAGGAAGCATCGAGCTCCTCGACGAGCCACCCAAGTCCAAGCAGCGCGTAGACGACCTGGAGCAGCCCCTCGCTGGACCCTCGAAAGTTTCCGACTTCGACGCGATCGTTACAGATGTCAAGTACCTTATTCCCGTGGTGCTCGAAGTCATCCCCGACTTATGCACTGCTTGGGTGCGAGAGAATCTCGAGCACCAGATCGAGTCCTTAAAGGACCACATGGTCACCCCAGGCCAAGAGGCTGTCGATCGCGTGATCAACGCCGCCCTAGAGATGGACCAGTACCCGCGTGAGGGGGATGCAACGAAGGCGCAGCAGAAAGAGGACGACGAGGGTGACTACAAGGATCGCAACTATCGTGCAGAGTTGCGCAAAGGCATCAATTATCAGCAGCGGGCATTCGCCATTCTCGAGGACGTGCACAATACTGTCCCCATCCAGTTGTGAGTTCGCTCTGGTTTGTCGTACTCACGATCAGCATTCGTGCGGCTTGGAAAGAGCAAGGCGGAATGCAACTTGTTCCTACTTACATCTTCCTGCACGGCCTTGCCACCACACCCAACAAACCGTACAGAGAGTTGAAGCGGGCACGGACCGGCAAGGGCAGGATGAATATCCCAATCCTCGATGGTGACCAAGCCGAGGGCTGTCAGGAATTTCATCGCGAGTATAGGTTTCTCAAGCAGCTCATGGGCATGTCTTTCATTGAGAGTGACGCTAACGCAACAGCGGAGGCTGTAGAAAGGGAGCAGAGGGAGCTCGCCAACACGGCGGCGAAACGAAAGCAGGAGGCTGATCGTGAAGAGCGCCGCCAGCGGGCCATCACCGCTGGCCAAAGCAGAGAATGCGGCTGCTGCTTTGACCAAGAGGCCTTAGTTCGTCCTCCCATAGAAGTCAACTGACTTGCAGGAGGACCTGGTCGCGTGCCCAGAAGGCCACATGTTCTGCCGCACCTGTGTGGCGTCGCTGGCCGAAAACAAGCTTGGCGAGCACCAGATAGTGAGCACATCCGATGAAGTGTTGCTTACGCCAGGATATCATCTGTATGGACATGTCACAATGTGACGCGCCTTTCTCAGATGCCGTATTGGCCGCTGTCTGCGGAGAACAGACTATGTCGCTTTACCACCGACTGCGACAGATGAAAGACCTCGAGATGGCTGCCATCGATGGCCTCGAGAGTTGTCCACACTGCCCATTCGCCATGGTAATTGACAACCCGGACGAAAAGCTGTTCCGATGCCACAACCCTGCCTGCAGCAAGGTGACATGCCGCAACTGCAAGCGCCCAGACCACATCCCCAAGCGTTGCGAGGAGATGGAGCAAGAATTCAAATTGGACAAACGCCACGCAGTCGAGGAGGCAATGAGTGCTGCACTCATGCGACGCTGCCCAAAGTGTTCCAAAGCTTACCTGAAAGAGTCGGGCTGCAACAAGATCACTGTGAGTCGACTATCACTGCACTGAGCTGACGTCTGTGTCAAACTTGTCGTACTGTCAGCTGCTATGTCTGTCAGAAAGCAATCCCTGAGGGCTACGCGCATTTTGATCAAACGCGTACGTTCTCACGTCAAACCACGCTCACCATTAGCTGCTGGTGCTCGGCGGCCCGCTGGTGTTTCCAAAGGGTGCCCACTCTGGGACATTGGTAACGAGGGACAGGCAGAGGTGGAACGGGTGAGTATGTCTTGAGCCAGGACTGACAGAAGATTCGCAGAGCGCGCGATGAGGCCATGCAGGCCGCACGGCAGGCGGCCCTGGCTGGCGGCATCGAGCTCACCGAGGCGGAAGTTAACGTCGATGTACCCGCGGCCGCGCCGCAGGCTCCAGGGCCTTTTGGCGGGGCAATCGGATACTTCATGGGCGGCGGCCTCGATCTGGCTCGTCTCCAAATGATAAACCAAGCCCGCGAGGTCGCACAATTGTATCGCGCCCAACACGGAGGAATTCACGCGCCAGAAGCCAACTTCATGGCCGGCATACATGAGCTGCACCGAGCGATGCACCGCGAGCACCATGCAGCACTCGGCGGGGGGGCCGACTTGGTGCAGCGCCTTGCGGCTGTTGCCCCTGGTGGCGCGCGGATCAATTTTGAGCATGCTCTGCGGCCCCCTGCCATTCTACCGCCCCGCGTTGCTCCTCCGTTAAGGCAAGAGGCCCCGGGCAACCCTCACGCCGAAGTCGACATTGCAGCCATACAGAGGATGGCTCTCATGCTGGACTGGCCTCCACCTGGTGCAAGGCCGAGGCCACCTGGTTACCGGCCGCATGCTGCTCTGGCTGTCCCAGCCCCAGCTGTTCCGCCCTACCTACCTCCCGTGCGTCCCGTCCCCCCTGTCCGCCAACCTGTGCCAATACCTAATCGTGTTCATTTCCAACCGGAGCGCGTACCCGACCCTGCTGGCGATCCGATGCTATATCGTAACTTCAACTACTTCCGTGGTAGGCCGGGAGAAGTCATTTGGAGGCCAGCAAATGTCCCAGCGCCTGGCCGCGACGACAATGCCGACGATGAGGACAGCGAGGACGAAGAATACGAGGATGAAGAGGAAGAGGGATACGATGACGCCGACGGCAGTGACGCCGACGGCAGTGACGACGACGACAGTGACGACGACGACTAGGCAATATAGATGCACAGCGGCCGGCCCCGTCGAAGGTGAACAGGGAATCCGCCTCCCGCGCGGGTTCTACGTTGAAGCGCGATTAGCCTAGACTCATCCATTACAGAGTGGCAGAGCCCACCAAAGTATACCGACCAGCAAGATCAGTGCAACTCGACTTGTGTGAGGGCGATAACACTATCATGACTGGCTCGCATTCATTACCGCATTACCAAGACGGCTCAACTTGTTTCATCCAGCGACACAGGGTCCGTCCACATCTCTCATTAAAGCTGTTGATATCCGTGTCTGTCTGTTGCCCCGTGAGTGTTGTGCACATTGTAACGTTCATGTATCTGTGAGGAGTACGGCGGTGTCAGCATTAGTGGCGAGTGAAAAGGCTGTCTGGGCATATGTAGGCTGCATGAAATGAGTGTGTACGGACTACAAGAGTCTGGAGTCTAAAGAGGGGCTATGATCGGATTCTGATGAGGAGGTGTATAGAGATACGTTACGTAAGAGTCCGAGGCTGAGTTGAGTCGTGTCCGGGCGAGGCGCGCCCAGTCTGACCTCACAACCCTACGCTCAAGCATAGAAGTAGTAGTTGGCAGCGTACGGGACGCTGACCGTCGCACCCTCGGTGTCGCACGTGGGCGACGCCCGCCCGCCAACGGTGTCGGTCCGCAGCACGGTCCGGGCGAGGAGGTAGTCCTCCTTGCCCTTCTCCATGGGGAGGTACTCGTACCGGGCCCAGGGGATGTGCTTGTCGCTGGGGGAGTAAGTCGCCGCGGCCCACCCGTACATGTAGTACCCGTCGCCGCGGGTCCACTTGGCGGCGTAGTCTCCCTTGTGCTCGTGCCCGTCCGTGTGCTCGTGGCGGTAGTCGTGCTTGTACTCGTGCTTGTCCTCCCCGGGGTACGGCACGTACTCGTGCCAGATGTAGCGGTAGGGGTTCTTGCCGTCCTCGGCCCAGGGGTAGGGCACGGCGTCGTAGACGTAGTACGGGAGGTTGGCCGCGTAGGTCTTGTAGTCGTCGGCGTACGACAGGGCGCAGGACGTGTCGTAGTGGCTGGAGTCAGAACGAAAAGGGGGGACACTTACTCGGCCGACACGCCGGTGTGGACATAGACACCGCCGGTACAGATGTAGTTCACGACGCCGCGCGCGGTCGTCGTCATTGTCAGGTGCTGGTCCTTGGGCGGCATCATGTCGCGCCACGTCTTCCATGCGTCCGAGTCCTCCTTGTACTCGTCGTAAGCGTACGCCGGGAGGTGGTAGTTCGAGACGTCACAGCCCGTCTTGTACGCCGGCGACCAGGCGTCCCACTTGTGCTCGTGGTCCGGCCAGGCGTAGTCGGGGTATGCCGCGGTCGGGGCGGGTGCGGGGTACGGCTTCCAGTCTGAGGGCGTGGGCGTGAGGTGGCTGTCTGGAAGCGGGGCGGCGGCCGCGAGGGACGCGAGGACGGGGAGGAGGCTGAGGAGCGCGGAGATCATTGTGGTGGAGGCTGATTGGCGTGTGGTGGAGTGGTGAGGCTGGAGGTTGGATTGGCGCTGAAGGTTGTGAGATGGTTTTTTGTCGAGGTCAGCCAAGGCGTTATATAGCTCTGGACGCTGCTCAACGAGACGCTGCTTAACGAGATGCCCGCGCAGTCAACGATGCCGACCGTGTCAGCGAGTTGCAGGCGACGTCGGTCGCATCAGCACCCGGACGCCATGAGCGATGCGCATCGTAAGGTGTAAGACACAGCCTGGGAGGTCCGAACAGTAGGAGGTAACATGGTGGGATGAGGAGAAGCCGAGAAATCGCGCATGAGAGCATGCCCGCATGATGGCATGTCAACATGTTAGCATGTCAGCAACAGCGGTGGCAGTAATGCAGCGATCCACGGACGTCAGCGATGCAGGTAGCGATGCAGACCGACGGCGACCAGCACCGCTCGGTAGCGGCGCGAGTGAGCGAGCGAGCGATCGTGACAAGTCAGCAACATGGCCAGCTCAGCCTCACGCCGCCTTGCGCACCGCGCCACAGCACCGCGGCGATCTCGGTTGCTCACGGCTCCCAGGACAGGCGTATGGTCGTACGAGGCCGAAGTCTTGGCACGCGGCACCGCATGCGAGCAAGTCGGTATGGCGAGCGAAGAGAAAGCGGTGAGCGGTGAGGGAGATTGAGAGTTTGATCACGTGACTTATCATGTCCTCCACTCCTCCACTTGCCTTCTGTTTGTCTCCTCTCCTCACTTCCTCCCTCTCCTTCGGTCACTCTGTTCTCCACTGGACCCCTCTCGCCACCATGTCGTCACCCTTCAACCCCCTCGCAAACCTCCCAGTCCCCACCTCCCAAACGACAACACCCCACCCCCTCCTCCCAACTCTCACGCCAGCGCTCGCATCCCCCGCTCCCCTCCCCTCACCAGGCCTCGGCGCCCTCGCCGGGCTGCCCGGCATCTCGAGCCTGCCGGGGATCAAGTCTCCGCGCGCAGCCACGCCGTGGGCGAGCATCTCGGCCGCCGCCTCCGCGGGCGCAGGCACGCTGAGCGCACCCCCCGCCCCACCCCCCGGCTGGGTGCCATTCGGCGCAGCGGGCGCGGGCGTCGGCGAAGCAGACGCAGATAACGCCCGCCGCGCGCTATCCGACGTCTCGCGTCTTCTTGAGCGCGCCGAGGTGCTGCGCGCCGAAATGGGCGTGCTGGGACGAAGCGTATTCGGCGCAGGCGGCGGCATTGACGCCCTCCCAACTATGCAGCTTGAATGTGAGTCGTTTGTGCTGCGACTAGCTGATGCCAGACGCACAAACTCTGCTCGCACTCATTTCCTTGGCGTCTGCGTATCTCGTCGGCGCACTGCCCGTCCCCCTCTCTGCCGCGGCGGGGTACTCGCCGCCTCAAACTGAAGCGGATGCCGCAGCACCACCCGTCCCTGCTCCCCCGGCGCCCACAGCATCCACACCCGCACCCAACCACGCCCTGCCGACAACCACAGAACTCGCAGGCTGGACCGAGGGGCGGGCCCAAGCGCAGTTCGCGCGGCGCGAAGCCATCCGCGGCGCATCCCGCGCCATGCTCGACGTCCTCAACACGCGATAGACATAGCATTATAGCATGGTCCCAGTGAATGTACAATAACGAGTGTGTATGCTCTATACGTGCCGGTATCGTGATCGTCGTGTCCTTATCTCCACAGCCGCTGCAACAATTTGCGGGGTGAGCCGAACTCGCCGCGCCGCGCCCGCTCAGGCGTCACCGGCTCGACGGGGGCGAACGGGCTCGGCTCCTCATCCACTTGACGGAGGTAAACTGACGTGCGCGGTGTCGTCGGGCCGGTGTTCCACGCCTGCCCGAGCCGCTGCACCGTCCCCACCTCCTCCCAGCCTGATCCGGCACCGCTCGAGCTCGACTCCCTGTTCCGCGCGCGCTCCCCCTCGTTCAACGACACTGTCGGCGAGTTGAGCAGTACAAGCGTGGGCTCGGACTGGCGTCAGCGTACTCGGACACGGACTCACCCGACTCGCCGTGCCCTGCTGCACCCCGAAATCATCGTAGGACGCGGAGCGCGGCGCGCTCCCGCGCCGGTGGGAGCCGTCCGCGCTCGCCGTCGTCCCCGAGTGCCGCGGCTCGCGGAGACTCTCCGTCGACGCGGTGGGCAGCGTATCCGGCGGGGCGGGGAAGACGAAGCCCTGCGCGCTCGCGCTCGGCAAGCTTGGGCCCGTCGAGGGGTGCGAGAGCGAGTTCGAGTTCGAGTCCGTCTGCGGCGGCGGGCCGAACGGCGAAAGCATCATGTCGCCGCCGACTGCGGCGCCCGCCGCGAGTGGCATGGGCCGGATGATCGGGCCGGGCGCGGAGCGGTTTAGCCCCGGAAGCGGGGTGAGGAGCGCTCGGCTCGCCGACGCGTTGCGCGAGTGCTTGACCGGCGATGGCGTGCGTTCAGGCAGGTCGTGAGATGCGGCACGCTGGTGTCCCCCCGCACGCTGGTATTCCGCCAGCGCGGCGGCAGCCGCCGCCATCATCTCCTGCGAGCCCGACCGTTTGTGTCCTTCCGCGCCGATGGCGCGTGCCGCGCCTGGAGGAAGTGGCGGGAGCGGGCGCGGCTCATGCGACCGCGGCGGATCGAGCGGCACCATGCCCACGGCGCCTTGCGGCAGCCGTGGCGTCGTGCCTGCAGAGTCCAACGCCGGGCGGTGGCCACTGCGCGTGCTGTCGAGCGACGCGAACGGCGAGCGCCTACCGTTGTCCACCGGCTGTTGCCGCTGCGCGCCCCACGGTAGAACTGCCGCAGCAGCAACAGCGGCCCCGGCAGCGGCCCCGGCAGCGACCCCGGCGCTTACGAGGGCCGGGTCCGACGCCCAGTTCCGGCCACCCTGAGCGAGAAGCTCGCTCGAGGCGCGGCTGTGGCTGTCCTGGTCAAACGGGGTGCCGAACGTCCCAACACTGCTATTTCGCTCCGAGTATCGCCCCGCCGCAGATCCAGGCGGCAGCGCCAATCGGCTCCCGCCGTGGGCGCGCGTGCCGAACTCGCCCAAATCCTGCCCGTCCTTGGACCCCGAACCCGAGCCCGCAGAGTCGTACACGGAAAACGACGCCGACGTTGGTGTTTCCGGCATGCCAAGGTCGACGCCTGCGAGGGTGGGCGGCATGCCCTCCTCGACAATAGTGGCGTGCACGCGCCCGCCGGCGCCCCGGAACCCGCGCGAGCTTTTGCTGCTGCTGCTCTTGCTTCCGCGCGACCGGCCCGAGTGCCCACCCGACGAGCTGGACGAGCTCGAGCCCGCCGTCCCAACTGTCCCTGGGTCGTAGTCGCCAGACGAGTTCTTGCTGCGTGCGCTGTGGTACATCTCGTCGCTGTCTGCTGAGCGATCCATGATCGGCCGCGGAGCGTAAAACAGCTCCTCTTCTGGCACGGGGACGTACGCGCCGGTGCTCGTGCCGCCCGAAGAACGTTTTGGGTCCGAGGTGTTGTGCGTGCCCCCGCTCCCGGAGCGCTGTCCGCTCGTCGTGCTCGACCGCTTGCTGCCGCGGTTCGGGCGCACGAGGCCGATCATACGCTCCATCGTATTGCCGCTGACATTCCGCGCGCCGTCGTCCTGCTCGTCCTCGGTCGGACTCTCGGTTCTGGGCCGCCGACCGAGGCCGAGGGAGCGCAGGAGGCCCAGTCCACCGGCAGTGGCCGCGGCTGCGCCCATTGACGTACCGACACCAGCGAGGCCACTCGTGCTCCCCGCCACACTGGCGCCACTGCCGGCGCTTGCGCGACCGCCGCTGCCGCGCACGCTGCCGCCGACACTGCCGCGATGTAGGAGAGAGGAGCGCTCGTCGCCGTACGACGACTGGCTGCTGTGGTCATCTCCATCATGCGCGGCAGCGGCCAAAACATGGGCTCCGCCAACGGCAGCCGGCCCCGAGGCGATGCCAGCCGCCGCCCGCGTCCCGTGGCTAGCACCGCCTGGGCCGTGGGGCTTTTCTGGTGGGTCGGTCGTTGACACGGGCTCCCATTGTGGTGGTGGTCGTCGGAATGCGGCGGTGCGCTTCTCCTCTGACTTTTCACGCTTCTTGCGGAGACATAGGGCGAGGAGGAAGATGGCGGCGAGGACGGCGAGTGGGACGAGGATGGAGGGAAGGATGACGGTGAGGTTGCGGCTGAGGCTCACGCCGGCTGCTGCGGAGGTAGAGGTTGAGCTTGGTAGTGGGGAGGTGGACGCAGTGCCGCCATTTGATGTAATAGTTCGCGAAGATGAGGGGCGAGGGGCGGATTGGAGTGATGATGATGAGGGTGATGGTGATGGTGAGGATGAGGATGAGGGGACTGTTGAGGGCGTTGCTGAAGCTGTGGATGATGGGGATAGTGAGAGTGATGCGGGGGACGTCGGGGATGAGGAGGGGGATGAGGATGGTGAGGGTGACGCTAGGGTGGAGGGTGTTGTTGTTGCCGCCGGCTCCGACGTCACTGTTGTATCTGTTGCTCCCGAGGTCGACTCGGGCGCTGTTGTCGGAGGTGCGGTAGCCGTCGGCGACTCGGAGCCACCATATGACCACCCGTCGCCGAGTGGTATACTTGGCCCATAGTCTGCCAGTCAGCGGCATTCCGTCGCCGTGTCCTTTCGCGGCTGATTTTTTTGACGTCAAACTCACAAGTCAAAGGCAGATCGACGACCTGCCCCGTCGTCACCTGCCGCCCATTCTCAACCGTCACGTACTGCCTATCAGCCGCTGCTGCGTGACCGAGCGCTGTGCTCACCTGCGACCAGGAGAGCCAGTCGGGAAGCTCTTGGCCGTCTGGTGTGAAGCTCTGCCGCTTCTCCGGGCATCCGACGACGGCGCACCACAGGGCGCGCATGGTCGGTGGAGGGCGGCAGTGTGGGGGAGAGGGATGGTGGTGGTGATGGAGAGGGGGGATGGGCAAGGGGGAGAGTGCGCAAGAGATGTGGAAGAGTGAGAGAGATGAGAAGAGAGAAAGAGAACAAGAGCGAGCGTGACAGGATGGGATTGTTTGTATGAGAGTAATGGGGCAGTCACACTCGTCGTCTGTCTGTGCATCCAAGTCGTAGGTCGGAACAGGGACAGGGGGAGGGGTGGGGACTCCCTGGCTGGTGCTGGCATGGGTGGTAGACGAGCTGTTGGGAGTGACAGCATGCATGGCCCAAGATCGAGGGTGCCTTGAGCAACATTACAGCATTGGTCCCCGCGACTTGGATATTTGGGACATGGGATAGCCCAACAAGCGGGTGGTACAGCACATGCACAGCCTGTAGCGAAGAGTGAGGACGACGACGACACCCCGGATCTGATGGAAAATGCGTCGTACATGGCATGCTGTTCCCGCTAGACTCGGGCAAAGCAAGACTGACGTCGCTCATGTCGTGCGCTGCCTGCGGTCTCTGATTAAAGCGATTGTTGAGGGTAGCGGGCATGCGGGAAGCAATGTTGAGCGCCACAGGGCGGGCGGCGTGGGAGGGGGGAAGCGAGGCTGATTTCTTTTTCCCTCGTCTGCAGCCCTCGTCCTCCACCCCAATCTCATCCCAATCGCCGGAACGAGGCTCGACCACACGCCACCGCCCTGGAAGCCTCTCCAAGAGCAGAGCACTCAGGGAGTGGGCATAGGGACGTGCCGCGTGTCATAGGGCCATGGGGGCGGAAGTGCACCGTCGTGGGTTGAGCCGAGATATGCAGGGGCGTGTGGGCGCAGAGTGAGCTGCGGTGGCGGCTGCAAAAATGCCGGCAGAGAGAGTCGAACCGTCGGGCCTCAGGCCATGTCGGGTGCAGGGCAACTGGACGATTCCAGGGAATGTGATTATATGATATTCCACGCCAGATGGCTTGTTGATGTCCAAAACACTCGTATTTACCCTGAATAACCGCTCTCCCTGTACTCTTGCTCTGCCCAAACAATTTATCCCCCCTCTGCTGTTGCCGGTTGTGCCTGAATCCATCTCGCCCGACTGCCCGATAGCCGGCGCCACCGTCCTTGTCCTCGTCCTCGTCTCGATCCTCCAGAGCACCTCCTCCTCTTCATCATCTCCCAATCCTGATCCCATGCTCCTGTACCCAAGATCACGGTTCGCCCTAGCCCTCCGCTCTCCCGTTGGGATTACGGCACGCCCCGCCCCCGTCCCAGTCATCGCGTTCGCTGTGCGCCATGTCTCCTCAGCCCTCGATGTGAACACCTCCGGCGCCCAAGCCGAGCCCACTCCCAAGGGCGTAAAGCTCACCGCACACCAGCAGTACCACGCGGCGCGGCTCACGCCCGCCTCGCTGCCGGCGGACCCGCTCGTCCTCTTCCGCACATGGCTCGAGGAGGCGCTGACAGCCGTCCGCGAGCCGGAAGCCATGACGCTGTGCACCTCCACGCCATCCGGCGTGCCCTCGGCTCGCGCCGTCCTTCTGAAGGAGGTGGACGAACGCGGCTTTCTGTTCTTCACGAACTACGCCTCCCGCAAGGCCCGCGAGCTCGCCGCGAACCCCCACGCCGCGCTCGCCATGCACTGGCGCGAGCTTGCGCGGCAGGTCCGCGTCGTGGGCGCCGTCGAAAAGGTGTCGCGCGAAGACAGTGAAGCGTACTTTGCCACGAGGCCGCGTGGGAGCCAGCTCGGTGCGTGGGCGAGCGCACAGTCGTCTGTCGTAGGCGAGGGCGAGCTTGAGAAAGCCGTGCAGGAGGTGGAGAAGCGTTTTGCGGACGCCGACGTCCCCTGTCCCCCGGGGTGGGGAGGATATCGTGTCGTGCCGACGTGAGTGAAACCCAGGGACCAGGCTGTTCTGACTCCAGCGAGATTGAGTTCTGGGCTGGTCAGCCTAGCCGGCTCCATGACCGCTTTGTGTACCTTCGCGAAGCCGAGGGGCGGCCGTGGCGTGTGGAGCGGCGCGCACCGTAGTGCTGCGTGCGGACATATCTCTGTGCGGTTCACAGGCGAGGGCGGCAGAGCGGCGAAGGGCGGCGGGCGGCATGCGGCATGCGGCAAGCATAGCATTGCGGATCAGTAGCATGGATCAGAAGGACAAGGAGCACGGCATGCAGTGCATAATCTTCAAGACGGCATAGCACCCGGGACAGGATCGGAACCGGCACACCACTCTCCCGGGTCTGTGGGATGGGAAACCTGCCACTCTGGGCGGGATGAGGGACAACTGCCACTCTCGGCCAAGGCTCGTAAGCTTTTTTGAGTTGCTGCCGAGTCCCAAAGACGACTCGCACCTGCCTAGACAGGAGACGCGAGGACGCGACGCTCATGCACAGGGTGTTGTCGATCCTGCTGCGGCGCACTCGCACTGGCACAGGTGGTTGGTATGTATAGGTCGGGAGCCTCGCAGGGCGCCGCAGCGTCGGAATGGTGTCCGCTTGCTCCAGCACTGTGTTGCGCGCCCAGGTGTTCACGCACCTCATGCCTATGCGCCCTCGCTGCATCTGCTGATCACGGTCAGTGATCAGTGCTGAGTGATCAACGCATCGTTACTAAGCACCACAGCTCGCCCCGCACTCACCTGCACCGCCGCTGACCAGCTGATGCACTACTAAAAACCCGCCGTGGAGCACTCATCATCACACCTCCTCCTCTGACTTTGTCTTCATCGCTCCTTGTCGCCTCTCACCTCGAGTCCTCCGCACCTTTCCCCTGCCTCACCAGACACCCACTCCATACCCTTTGCCCGCCATGCTCTCCCTCGCCCTCGCCGCTCTCCCCCTTCTGTCCCTCATCTCCGCCGCCCCCCTCCTGCCCCGCGCAATCTGCCCCGACGACCAAGTCCTCTACGGCACCCCCTCCGGGCCGATCTGCGGCCCGCCCCCGCCTATCTGCATTTCAGGCTGGTACTGGTGCGCCTCGACCGCCGAGTGCATCCCCTACTGGACGAAGTGCGAGGCGGGCGGCGCCGCGCAAATCGCGCGCGCCTTCACGACTGACGATGATGGGCGTGATGCGAATGCGAGGACCAAGCCCGTCAAGCCCGCCGATCTTTCCAGGCCCGACGGAGAGACTGGCCCTCAGACGGAGCCGGAGCCGCGGCCCCAGGACGCCGATCGCAAGCCCAAGCCCAAGCCCAGCTCGCACCATGACTGGCCCAAGTCCAAGCCCCACAAGCAGCCCAACGCCCCGAAGCCATACTCGACGGACACGCAGCCGCACGAGCCGCGCACCGACCCCGACTCGGACTCGAGCGCACACCGCACACGCGATCACAACTCCCCACCCCTCCACAAACGCGCCACCTGCGCGAACGACGAGGTGTTTGTCTGGCGCGACGGCGCTCCCGCGTGCGCCCCCGCCCCGCCCGTCTGCCAGAGCGGGTGGTACTGGTGCACGAACAAGTGCGTGCCCTTCTGGAGCAAGTGCGCGGCGCCTCGCAACGCTGCCCCCGAGGAGGTGTGAGGCGGATAAGGACGGCGCGCACGGAACGCTGCTACATGGATTATTCTTGTCGATCTGGTGGGATGCGTGCTGACCTGCTCGTTCTGTGCGTTGGTGGGGCCACTAAGTGGCGCATCACAGGCACAACCCGATCCGCACTGACATAGAGCATTTATATCACATTACTATTGCTCTCACTGACTATACGGAGTACTGATATCCTCAATACTCACGCCCTGCGTACTTATGTACGCTGGCACATGACTGGCCTGACCAAACAGGCATCCTAGTGGCGCTTGGGCTTCTTGCCCTTGACCTTCGGCTCCTCGTCTGCGGGAGGCGGGGGGAGAGGCGGGAAGATGACCTTCCTGCCGTCGCTGTCGTCAGCGCCGCCATCGTAGACTCACAAGGCGCGGCGCTCTTCCTGGTCGCACCCCTCGAAAGGGCACTTCTGTGCCTGGCCCTCGCATTCTGTCGTGAGCTTTCTCTGCGAAAACACCTACTCTGGCAGGTCGACACGTGCTGGCACGTGAACGGCATGTGGTCAACAACCCGCGTGCCGCACACAAGGCATTTGGACGCGTTGTTCCCATTGTGCGGCTTTTTGGTCTGGGACAGACCTGCGTTGAAGCCGAGGCGGTACGCTTCCTCAAGCTGGTCTTGGTACTTTTCCTCGACCGCCTCGGCGTTCTCCTGGTACGAAGCCTCCACACGGGCAACGGCGGCGAGGAAGCTGTCTTCGAGGTCCTTGATTCTTTGTTTGGCGGCTTCGAGGGCCTGTTGAGTGTTCTTCTTGTCTGTCTGCAGCCCCTTGATTTGCTCATTGGCGTCGTCGAGAGCCTGTTGGGTGTTGTTCTTCTCGGCCGCCAGCACCTTGATGTCGTTCTCGAGGATCTTGATTTTCTTCCTGATCAGCATCGGGCTTCTATAATTTTTGGGCAGCGTTCTCCTCAAGCTCGTGGAACTTTAGGTGAGGAGGGCTTTTCCATCAGGACTCACGGCGAGCATCGCAGCCTTGCTGTCCTGCTTGCCTTTGGTTTGCGCGGTGTTCTCGCCGGCCGACTGCACCGGCTCCGAAGGCCCGGTGCGGGCCCTCGGCTGGCTGGATACAGGGACGCGAGGCGCGGTGTTGCCGCCGTCGCGTTTGCTGATGGGTGTCATCTTGGAGCTGGCTAGAGCTGGATGATTTAGGTGCTGGACTGGGTCAAAAGAACGAGGAAGGGGTTGACGCACGAGGTGGACTTGGAGCTTTGGGCAGGAGGAGTGAGAGCGGGAGATAAGGAACGGGCTGGAAGGTGAGTATGGCCTAAGGAGTCGCAGCTTACTGTGTAATGAGAGACAGTGCAGTGGCTGCTGAACAGTCCAAGAGCTGCAGTGGTGCGTACGTTAATGCGCTGGGAAGAGGTGACGGGGAGTCGTGGGGGGAGGGAGATGTGGCAAGGTGAAGAAGGAGCGGCGCAGATTGGGTTGTGGGTAGGATGTGTAAGAGAGGATTGGAGTGAGTGAGTGAGTAGACAACGAGCGATGGACTGACATGTTATATAAAAATTAGGCCAGGTGTGGGAAGACACGCTAGGCTGTCAACATCGAGAAGGCGAGCAACTCGCAGCGAGATTCGCAATCGTCGTGCCACAGTGTCGCCCCACAATTTTGGGGGATAAGCCATGAACAGGCTCGAGCGAGCCCGACGCCATGAGTTTCACCCTCCAGTGCTGTACTACGGCCTTCATTCCCCCTGCATCTCGGGCTTCTCCCCTAGAAATGCTATACAGAACTCAGAAGGAGTCTGTCGCAATTGGTGTCAACCCCAAGTCGCACCGACCGGCCCGCTCTCCTTGCGGGGCGTATGTGTCGCGCAACCAACGGCCCTGGTGTTGGAACGATGGCACAAGTTGCATCTGCTTCTACTCCGTGCTTTGCATAGATCACCAGGCTGGGGAAAGCACGTTACAATGGAGAGTCGTGGTCAAGAGATACATGTGTGCCTGGGCACCTCTGGAGGAAGCGAGCTAGACGAAAGAGCTGGGCCGGTCCAAGCGGAACACGAGAAGGTTTCGCATAGAAACACCCAATACCTCCTGCCTACACACATACCAACTCGCGGGAGCCCAAGCCTGACAAGGGGCGCAACATGCAACATTTCAGCTTCTAGACTCGCCTCTCCAGGCCCTAGCTCTACGCCCTCGCCCTACGCCCTTGCCTGTCACCGAACAGGGTGGCGAGTAGACTCGCCTCCTGCTTTTGTTTAGATCTCACGGTCTATCCCACCTCTCTACAACATCTTCCTCACCATGCTCTTCGGCACTGTGCATCCCCAGCACAGCGGCTCGGGCGATTCAAACGCCTCTTCTTCAGCTTCGGTAAGTCGCACCCGTCTCCCAGCTTACGGCAGGCCGAACACTCCCCGCAGAACACACCTCCCTCCGATGAAGTAATCAACCTAGCCGCCACTGTCGACCACCGCCTTCTTATCGACGACCTCACCCGCGACATCGAGAACCTCATCCGCTCCCTCAAGAATCCAGCTGATCGCAACTTTCTCACTGTCGGACTAGCCGTCGAAGAGGCTAAGCGGGAAGCGGAGGCTGCTTACACTATCACCATCGACACCTTTAAGCGGGAGAGCGAGGAGCGGCACGCTGCTCAGCTGAACAAGTTAATCGAGAAGGCAAAGCGGGAGGAGGAGTTGGCGGCCGAAGAGGTCAAGCGCCACACTAGCACCGTCGTTGAGGACACCAAGCGCCAAGCAGCTGCTGCCATCGAGGAGGTCAAGCGCAAGACAGCCAGTAAGATCGAGAATGAGCAGCGCAGCAGTGCGGCTGCGGTGGAGAAGGCGAAGCGGGACACTGCTGCAGCGGCGGCGGAGGCTGCATCTTTGCTTGCAGCTCAGGTGGAGGAGGAGAAGGAGGTTGCCTCACACATTGCAGAAATCGACCGCGCTGTAGCCGTGGCGGATGCGGTGGAGGCAGTGATGGCCGAGGCTGCGGAAGAGAAGGAGGCCGCTCTGAGAAAAGCCGCGGAGGAGGCGGAGGCCGCTCGGTACGAGGCCGTTGAGGACGCCAAGTCTGAAATGGAGGAACACTGGTCGGATAAAATGGCCCAAGCTCTCGCAAAGGCCGAAGAGGATTTGAACAGCGCTCTCCGTGCCGCTGAGGACGCAAAGGCCGACGCGCTGACGCAGGCGGCTGATAAAGCAACGCAGGAGAAGGAGGCGGCTGTCAAGGCCGCCATTGCAGCTGCTAGCCATGCTGGGGTGCAGTGTGTCGTCTGCATGGACGCAGGGGCGTGCCAGATGCCCTTCCGCTGTCGCCACGTCCTCATGTGCCATGGTACGTTGTCGCACTCAGGATTAGCTGAAGCCTGATTGTGTGTTCAAGGTTCAGCGCCAGACAGGCCAATGCCCATTCTGCGGATGTGCCGATATGCTCCCGTGAGTGCTTCAGCGAGTGCGCTTATCCAGCCATGGTCAGTGGCGAGTCTATCTACCGTAGACGGGGCATTGTCCAGTCATTTACGAGGTTGTGGATATCTGCGGGCAGAGCTGGCTCGGGTGAAACACGGGCGAGGATAGGGCTTGTACACAGTTGATCGATGCAGCGCTCATCGTGTGTACGCTAGCACTCATACACAGGGCCAGTCAAACTCAGCTGCACCCATTAGAGTGCAGATTGCTTGCGTTCGCACTGTGGGTGATGGGGAGCTCTCAGTGGTCGCACCACCTAGCAGTGTGTGATGTACCTACATGGTTATGACTTAAAACCGCACACTGCCTCTACTGCTCACCCCACCCTCCATCCCACCCGCTTCTTCAGGTTTACCATGCTTTACTCAGAGTTCCACACACGCCTGGAGGATAACCTGTCCCACTTCGGCCTCACCACTGTCGACATTTTCAGGACACCCCCTCCTCCGACTGCAGCCGTCTTAGAGGCCATCAGCGCCGCCCTCCACCCCCAGCCTCTCACTCTCCCGCGCGGCCAGCGCTTTATGGACGGACTCAGTCCCGCCCTGCTTCTCTATGCGGCAACCCACTTGTCTGCCTTGCAAGCGGAGAACGACATGAACTTGACTTTGCTGGCGAGGGTCGAGCAGGAGCGCCTGCGTGTTACTGAGTTCATCCAGGAACGCCCCGCCGCCCATACCTTTGAGACACACACCGAGATACAAATTGAGCGGGCTCAGGAAGAGGTGCGCAAGGTTAAGGCCGAGAAGAAAGAGAAGGTGCGGAAGCTCAAGCGAGAGAAGAAGGAGCAGGAACAGATCTTCCTAGAGCAGCTGGAGTTGGCCGAGGAGCGTGTGTGCCGCGTTCAAGAGGAGCTGCACCAAGCAGAGATATCGAAGCGGCATTGCGAAGAGCAGCTGCACCGAGCAGAGGAGCATCAAAGCCAGTGCATCGGCTGTGTCGATAAGATTGTCAGCCAAATGCCGTTCGTGTGCCAGCACGTCTACTTGTGCGAAGGTGAGCTAAAAAAATTAAAGTGAGATTAGGTGAAGCTCAGTGCAGACTGCGTACCGTTAGTCAAGAGCTGTCCTGTTTGCAATTGCGAAGCCCAGCGCAAGTGAGTTCTCAAACCTCGGGAGAAGCTAAACAATAGGTTCGAGAAGTGGCGCGTTTACCTTCCGTAGCCGGTTCGAGAACAACATTTTTCCTTAACAGTTTGGAGCTGTGATTCACACGCACTGGCGGGTAGTCGCTTCTGAGCCATCCTCTCTATGTTCCAAGAGCTCAATCTCTTTTCTACAGCCTCATGCATCCACAGAGTAGTACCTGCTGCAGGGGATTTGCTGAATGCTACTCATCCTGAAACGCTGGAGGCGTTCGGCGCCCGTGTGAATCCCGGTTAGATGTTTCATTCATGTTCTTAAGTCGTCGCAAGCAGGACACTGTTTGATGTCCATGCGTGCTCTACTGCTTGGAATCCGCCGCTGTTCCGAATGTGTGAGTAGTGACAGCAATGAGAGTGAGTGCATGACGGAGGTTAGGACGAGAGGCCTGAAGATGTGTTGTAGCGACACGCGACACGCGTCATCTGGTATCGGCCGGTTGATAAGTGAGGAGGAATGTGTCCGGGTTGACCAAGACTGCCAACACTTTCGAAACATTGGCTTCTGTATCGGCTCTTCAGCAGCCCGTCTGAATCGGATCGCTCCGCACTCAGGGTGTGCACCCCGTGACGTTCTCAAACGCATGAAAGCGGGGACATGTCCATGAGAACGGCGCTCGGCGCGGCGGTCACATGACTTCGGAGTATTCCGCCCCTGTGGCAGTGCAGACAGTCGAGATGCGATGCAACAGCCTATCGGTACAAAATGAGCCAAAGAGTAGAACGTACTGAACACAACCAGAATCTGACAAGCAACAAAAATCTCCCTGTTCACCTGCATCGCCTCCGGCAATGCGTGCCGGACTGCCACCCCACGTTCACTTGGCAAGGAACACACGCCACTCCTCCTTTCTGATGTCAGCTTGCGTGACGCTGTCTCTCACCTGCGCGGAGTCCGATTGATGCAGAACGGACAGTGCTTAGAATCCGTTACGACGCGATCCGCACATTCTGAGGTCAGCCTCTTCTTTTTGATACTGACGTACGAGAACACATAACAACATGCTGGCACTGGAAGGGCATCTGGTCGGCGATCTCGTCGAGACAAATGATGCAAGTGTTGGCGCCCTCTTCGTCCTCGTCCACCTCCTCCGCCTCCAACTTGCGGCGGTAGCTGGCTTTCATCATGTCGACGACCCTCCGCTGGCGCCCAATGTCGGCCTGCAGACCCTCAATCTCCATCGCGTGTTCTTCTCGCATGATGTCCAAAGCATTTGTGTTGGCTGCCCGCAGCCGTGCGAGCTGGTCCGCATGAGTCTTCGCAGCAGCCTCTAACGTCTTGAGATCGGCCTCCAGCGCCTCTGCTGCGCTCTTCAGCCCCTTTACCTCGGCTGCGTGTGCGGTCTCCACCTCCTCCGCTCTCGCGAAGGCGCAAGCCAGGCGCTGATCAGCGGCCTCGCATGCATCCTGTGCCGTAGCCACGCGCACGTCTGCGGTCGTGGTCGCGGCAGATATTGCAGCCGCCAGGCGTTCGTCCAATCGCTCCTGCTCCTGTTTGAAGGCCGCTGCCTCCCTCTGCTTGCTTGCCTCCACGGCTGCCGTCAGCTGGGGCCCAGCGCCAAACTTACCTCCCTGCACGGCCCGTTGCGTCTGCAGAGCTCCACGCCGCTCGGCCTCCTCAACCGCCCTCTTCACCTCTTCCTCGTGCCGCCGCGCTATCTCCTCCATCGCTCGTTGAACGGCCGCGTTCACGCGCTGCTCCGCAACCTGCTCTGCAGTCTCCTCTGCCTGGCTGACCGCCTCGGAAATTCGGCCAGCCACCGTGTTCTCGGCAGCTACCATGGCGGCATGCAACCGCTTTGCTGCCTGTAGCTCTGCGTTTACCAGAGCTGCCGTTAGGCGCTTCTCTGCGGCGCGAGCACCCTCGATCAGTGCGGCAGTCAGGCGCTGGTCTGAAAACTTTTCGATTTCGCTCAACACCATGTGGATTGCGTAGCCATGTCCACCGGAGGCCGCGTAATTGGCCGCCTGGAAGGCTGCCTTGAGCCGTGCGTCGAGAACCGAGCTCGGCTCGACGAAGGACACTGTGTTCTTGCTCTCGTGGATGCCATTAATAGCCTGGATCTCGGACTGGAAAGTCGCGGCCATGTCTTGTAGACGGTCCACAGCGACGCCTACAGCTGCCACGCTGTGTGTGAGGGCATTGACGAGGGCCGTGGGGTTGACAGGGGGGACGGGGGCGGTTGCGATCGATGAGCGAGGGGTGTTGAAATTGGCAGTAACCGTCGTTGCGGCAGTAGCAGTGCTCGTTGCAGAGGCCGCAGTTGCGGCAGAAGCAGCTGTTGCGGATGTAGCAATGGAAGCGATGGAACCGGGACGGCGAAGCGGGCCGGGAGAGGCTGTTCTGGCAGTAGACGCGACGGAACCGGCGCGGCGCACAGGCGGGCCAGGAACTGCAGGTGTTGCGATAACCACATGGGGTCGGGTAGGTGTTGTAGTTGGAAGAGGGGCCGTAGCTGGAGAGCGAAGTGTCCCTCCAGCCGAGGCTGCGGCTTGCGTGGTGGGAGAGACCGGCGTGCGAGGAGGAGGTAGTGGAAATGCGCCTGGCGTGCGGGGAGAAGCCGGAGCAAAGGCCGAAGCTGGAGCACGCTGAGAGGCGGGAGAAGATGGTGCAGGTGCAGCAGCTGGTGCTGAAGCAGCGGTTGGAGTGCGAACAGCGTTGGGAGCTTGGTTAAGGACCGGAGCAAGGTCGGCCTCTGGTATGGCCGCGGCGGGTGGTGCACGGGCAGCGGCAGCTTCGGCGGAAGCCACGCGCATTGAGATCTTGCGTTGCTCCTCTTCGGACTGGCGGGCGGCCCGATCAGCGATGGCGAAGAGGAGATGGCTCGGTGTCCAGCCCTTCTGGACAGCATTCATGACGAGCCCCATCCGCGACCCGGGATGCTCACTGTCCCACATGGGATCCTGAGCTGCGAGGAGCGCATTGTGAATCTGCGTCTGCATCCTCGCTCCGAGCTGGTTGTAGCAGGCTCTAATCGCGAGTGCGTCGATGCTAAGCTCGTTCTGACTAAGACTGGCCTCGAGGCGTTCCTTGAACGCACGGTAGATCTGTGTGTCGGGCTCGCCGCGAGCCACGCGATCTGCCACGACGAAGAGGAGGTGGCTGGGCGTCCAGCCGCGACGCATGGCTGTCGTAATGAATGACATCCGCGTGCCCGGTATGGCGTCCCACGCCGGGTCCATGGCATGCAGGAGCGCGTTCTGGATCTGACCCTGCAGGCGTGAGCCGAGTGAGTTGAAGCATGGCTTGGTGGCAAGTGTGTCCGTCGTCAAGCCAAACTTGGAGAGGTTGGCCTCCAAGCGGCTCGCGAAGACTGAGTAGCTCATAGTGGCGAGACCTCCAAGTGTACGATTGAGTGGGTGGCGAGAGTTCTTGTGAGAAGTGAAGAGACTCTGTCGCCTGACTAGATATGTCTTCTTCCGCGTTCACGGAGTCGCATCGGAAGTTGGAGCTCATCAACAGAGGTACCGGTCAAGCGCCCACCGGCGAGTCAACCGGCCTCCCAGAGTCGCCACTCGTACCTCGAATCTATACGGAGCAGTCGTTATCTAGGGTCTAGGTAGTCACACTCACCGAAAGCGCTGTTGGTGGAGTCGGAATCAGGAACGCGGCAACTCAGCTGAGCGAAAGATGGCACAGCATGCCTCGAGACAAGGAGTATGATTGGATGCGTTTAACCCTTTGACCGTTGACAAGCATACCTCGAGTCCGGCGGGCAATCAGGCGATCAGTTCGATTGGACGCCCAGGTTTCCAGGCACTGCACATCATCAGGATCGGCGTCTGGCTTACTACCCGGTTACATGTTCACGAGGTGGCGCGGTTTCATGAGCACTCTGCTGACCTCATCTTATGCTCCGTTCCAACGCCCTTTGCTTGCTGTCTTGGTTGGAATGCCCAATTGTGACGAGGACGTCGTAAATCGGCGAGGATCTTGCAGGCACCAGCCTGGAGATGTGCAAAAGGCTACGGAGCAAGAAGCTAGCTATGACCTCCAGTTGATTTGCCGCCCACTAATGATGCAGTTGGTTGGCCACCCACTCATGGTGCAGTTGATTTGCCACCCTCTGCCGGCGCTTTGCGCTGAGTACTGTACAACAATGAGTCTGCATAGTGGCGAAGGCCGTGGCCTTGACTATTCCACGGTCCAGAACTGCCTCGCAGCTCTCCCACTTCACCACCAGTGTGATGAACGGCAGTCTCTACGGCCTTCGAGAGCGATCAACGTCAGCCTTTGCTACTGATAAGCGCGACTCCAGCTTGGGTCCGAGATTATGGGACGTTCAACTAAGTAGACTCAGCATGGCCAGCTCGGCGCGGATCCTGTCGGGTACATGCATCCACTGGAGGGCAGCTGACACCACATTCTCGGCACTCCAACCAGGTGTGACAAATTCTGAGCCGCGGCGTCGCGTACCCAACATCCATAGCTTGAACAAGACTCAGCACTCGTGACGACTGAGAGAGAAAAGGCAGCGGCTCTCCTTGTGCACTAGAGCGAGGGAATCCATTACGAAACGTTAATCTTCACTGTACAAAGAGACAGTGGACTTGACCTGGGTCTGCACTAAATTCGCCCGCTTGTGGATGCGGCGCCTAAAGAAGCTCGTGGTGCGGGTGCACCCGCAGGGCCCGTTGTACTGAATGGGATTGCTTAGCTCGATCGCCACGGCGTGGTAGCACGTCACAGTGATGTCGTAAGTGGCGAGTGAGCATGTTGGAATGATGTGGGTGGGTGAGGAGGCACAGTACTGGCTCAGCGCACAGGTGGGATGTCGTGGTGAGACTGCACCCGCCTTGGGATGGAGTACTCACGTCCGGAAGCGTCGGGTTTTTCGCAACGAGCGAGTCTGAAGACTGGCAGATGCACGCGATAGTCTCTAATGGGTACCGACGAGCGATAGATATGAGTGAGGCCGTGTCCGAACGCGAGGGCGTCATGACACAAGGAATATCCGGTGGACTGAAGCAGCTGCCTGAAGCTCGAGTCTGCAACTTGTCAACGGGCGAGAGCAGCCCGACGTACCTGCCACCCTGCAAGAGTGAATTTCCTGCGACAATTGGAACGGCACACGGTCTACCTATCAGCTCGGCCCCAGTCACACTCGGCACGTACTGGCTTGGCAATGCATGGAGGACGGGGCGCGCCACAGTTGTCGAACGCACCGTTTTCACGGGCCCGCGGCGTGACGGATTGCAAATGGCCATGAAGGTCTGGCAGCTCAACTGGTGGACAAATGCCTCTTAGATGGGCAGGACAGGAGCAAAGTATCTCGGGTGATACACATTGCATTGTGAGAATGCACCAGCAGGAGTACCTTCACGCCATCATGTCGAGCTGTGCGTTCGCCCAACCCTCTGGCGTCACCGGCTAAAGCCCATTCCAGCCAGAGCTTTCACTACGAAACCCAGCGGCGTACCAGGGGTCGCCGCGACATGTCGCCCGTTCAAAATCGAAGAGAGCCGAGCCGTCGGGCTGGGGTGGGCTGAGGTCATACGAGCACCTCGTAGTGTCCGCACACCAGATGAAGCTCCACCACCCTGATGACTCGAAATCAATAACTGTGATAGATGTGCAATAAGACCATGATACTATGACAGGGTGAGAATACAACAAGTATCAAGAGTTTGGGGAAAAGAATCCTAGACATTGCTGTATATGTGACAATGTGATGGGGCTGTACTGATGTGGGTACTGATTGGTACTGACACCATAATAAATTGTGGAGTGTTCTGTGGTTGGGAAATGCAGTTATCGTGTGAGTGATGCCACATGTTCAACACGTGTGGTCAGTGTTTGGGGGTTATTGTTGTTCAGATTGTCACAGTGTGTGAGCTTGAACTGTATATCTGATGCAGTGGAAAACTACCTACAGTAATAAATGGATGGATATCTACAAAAGCATCGGCAAATTGGTTTCGCTCTGTAGCGGTGAGTTCCGGAGTGGTGACAAGCGGATGGTGACGGCGCATGGGCGACAGTGTGATACTTGCGGGTGATTCAGAGTGCATAGTTGGAAAGGGAATTGGGGACTGGGGTGGAGTTACGAGCCGAGGGCCATCGGATGACGACTTGCTTGCGCCCGACAAGTGACTCGTCTGTGACCCCTTGCCCCAGACGACTCGTTTGTACCCGATCATCTGTTCGTTCCCGGCGACCACGACAGGGAGCTGGTTGGGCTACTGTTCGCTCCTCTGGAGATGGCGGGGGGAAGGTGTCGTGGCGCCACCTTCGGCGCCAGCAACACCGACCATGTGACCCACACGTGGTCTACGCCAAATGTCACAAGCATGCTGAACCTGTCCATCACATGATTCATCGTCAGTACTTCCGCACAGTACACTACATCCATATAACTCGTAGTATATATAATGCTGTCGTTACTCAGTAATGACCAACATATGTATCTTCCAGTCTCTTAGACTTGCCCTTGTCAACAGTATCATTGACGGCTGCCAGACTTGAGTACCTCACCCCACTGGGTGAGTCTCTTGCCACGACAGAAGGTAAGGGGTCGGGATAGGTTCGAAGGTGATGCGAGTAACGGAGTCTTTGTAAAACCGCGCGCATTCACCGTGCAGGTCGATGTCAGTATGAAGGGTGAGGAAGTAGACGGACGTTCTCTGGCGTGTTTCGTGCATGGATGGCGATGCTGTTGATAGTGTTTGCTTGAGAGTAGAAGAGGAGGAATGAGGTCGGGTGGCAAGATGAGCTTGGCCGACTCTGATCGCTGACTCACTCGGAGATTGATCAAAACTACGCATTCTTCGAAAGTGGCAAAGCTGGTATCGCCATGAGGCTTGCTAGCACCGCCTCCGTCACCTCTCCGTCTCCGTCTCTGGTTCTGGTCCAGGCACATCTGAGTTGTCGCTGCAGTAGGTGCTGGTGTGACAAGTGATTTCATTGACCGTTTCTTCCGGGAGTAGGAGCGTTGATGGGGGAAGGTCGACAAACGCAGCGGAGATCCATAAGGCCATGGGCGTGACCAGTCGCTGGGCGCCTTGAATAGTCATCAAGCGGCCTTGCGCTGTTACGGGCTTCGAAACCCGCATTACCCCAGGCTCGTCCATCCGCACGGCGATGACTTCACTGGGATTGCCGTAGAAAATCGTTCCCACTCGATTCCTTTGAAACTCGAGTAGGAGTTGGCATACGCCGAGGGTCTCACCAACTGTAAGCCTGTTGCTTTGAGGTCGTCCACGGCTGTCGGTTCCAATGTAGGCGTCGGATTGGTTTGAAATGCCTTCAATGATCGACGTATGGGGAGGCTTGAGCTCGATGGTCGAGATGGTGATCCCGTCCCGCGTCATAAGGTAATCAGACGCCCCTTTTGCAGAGGAGGAGCTCAAATACCACCCGCCGGCATGGAAGGGCAAAGTGCGACGGAAGTTCCTGGGCTCGAACAGGAACTTGTTGGCCAGTTCGAGGTCACTCTCCCTCATATTGGAGCCGAGATCAAATTCCAAACGCTGGAGTCGCCGGCGGCGTCGCAGTTCCGCGAGACCGTCGATCGCAATCTTGTAGCGATTGTGAAAGTCGGAATCCATGGGCGCTCTGCTCACCAGTGCATCGGCGACACTGTCGTGGCGCCACCTTCGGTGCCAGCAACATCGACCACGTGACCCACACGTGGTCTACGCCCAGCGTCATGTGCATGCAGAACCAGCCCATCACGTGACTCAGTGTCGGTACTTCCGCACGATACGATACATCCGTACGGCTCATAGTATATATAGCGCCGTCGTTACTCAGTAACGACCAATGTATGTATCTTCCAGTCTCTTAGACTCGCCCTCATTGACGGCATCGTCGACAGCTGCCGGACTCGAGTACCTCACCCCACTGGGTGAGTCTCTCGCCACGACAGACACGGCTGATGACACCTGTGAGGATCTGGATGTCAACGAGGCAACGCTGGAGGAGCACCCACACTGTCGTCCACCACAATGCGAAGAAGTGGAGTTTCGGGCTGGTGTCCTGGGTAAAGGCGGTCGAATGGGGCTGTGTACACCTTGGTTGAACGAGGATCAGCCTTGGAATTTTTAACGACGCCGTGTCGTGCGCGCTTGGCTCGAAGAAGCGTGCTGCTGCTCCGGGCATGCTCCTTATGTGCGGCCTTGACAGCATCCTTGGAGAGAGTGGGGAAGGTACTAAACCGCGGCGGAAGGGCAAAATGAGCAGGGGGAGGAAGCGAAAAGGGGGGAGGCGACTGGGATAACGCCGCAGGGGGGAGGATGTAGTTAAGGGGGGTGGGGAGAGGCTGGAAGGAGTCGCTCATGGCTGGAAGCAGCGTTGGCAGTGTTGAGTATTGAAATGGAGATGAGAAAGAGGATGTTGCAACAGAGTACGGGAGTACCAGATGAACATTTCCCTCTCTCCGGGGATGCTCACAAGATGGCAGTTGCATGTATGCCATTGTGAGGCCAGGTGAACTTGACCTTCCTTACGGCGCCACGCTGTCCATATTCCGCTCACAAATCCATTAATTCACTAATTCATGAAAACGATCATTGCTATATCTACCCCCCTCCTCGCTCCATCATTGCATCCACCCCACTACGTCCTGCATCTTGGTCGCGAGAGCGCGGCCCACCGTCTCCTCCGCCTCCATCTCCTCGACGCACGCGCACTTGCACGCGCCGCACCGCTTGGCGGGATCGAGCGCAGCCCACGCATCGTGGATCGCGCCGAGGAGGTGCTGCGCCTTGCGCGGGTTCATGTGCTTGAAGGGAGGCAGGGCGCCAAAGTCCGCCGCGACGACGTCGTAGCCCCGGATGTACAGACGCGCGTCGATGTCCTCGAGGAATGCGGCGGGGAGGGCTCTGTCCGGCGAGCGGAGGAGGAGGAGAAACGCTGCCGCGTGTATCGCCGCGGGATCCGACCAGGCGCTGGGAGAGCGGGTGGGCGAGGTGTTCGCGATCGCCGTGGTGGGCGCGATCGCCGTGGTGGGTGCGACCGGCGTCGAGGGCGCGATCGGCGCTGTCGGCGTGGTGTGCGCAACGGGTGCCGGAGGAGGCGGAGCAGACCGCGGACGGGCGACCATGTATTGGCGCTGCCACGAGTTCGTTGGGAGCGGGTACGCCTTGTGGCGCGGCGCGTCCGAGGGTTGGGTGCAGAGAGGGGCCATATTTGTGTGGGCTAGTTTGGCGGGTAGGTGTGACGGACATCCAAGGAGAGCTGCTTATAAGCCATTCTTGAGGGAGTGGAGTATGAGAAATGGACTGCTACGAGGCGAGAGGCATGAGGTGCGAGGTGGGACAAGGTGTTTTGCGAGGCGAGCTGTTTGAGTTGATATGGAGTGGTGGTTGTAAATTGGCGGGAGTGATGAGGGCACAGAGCAAGAGCAAGAGCGCATGCATTGCCTGATCATTGATCACGCATTTGTTCCGCACCAAGACGTCGACACTGAAGTCATCTGTATTGTTTAAGCGTAAGGTCGCTGACTCCATTGTGGCAAAAGGTTTGTGGCAAAATGTGGCAGACAACAGCAAGTCTGAATTTGGCCTGCAAACAACAGCGTACCGAAAAGTCTGCGCACTTCCTGATTCATTGGTATATGATTTGCTATTCTACAACCGGATAATCGATCCAAGGTATGTGTAAGGTATGGTGTACTGCTACTACGAGGACTCCCATTTCCTGCCGTGCGAAGAACTGTTAGACCCGCTGGCCCCGCCCGCTCGTGCGGCTCTTGAGCTTGGCGAACGACTCCTCCAAGCGCCACTTGAGCTTGGAGCCCTTGTGTGTGGCCGCGTGCGTCGTGCTCTTGCACCACCACGCGCTCTTGGTCAGCGCTTTCTTGTCCTGCTTGTGCTCGCGCTCGAGTGCGGTCTCGTCGCTCGCCACGCTGTCGGTGGGGATGGCGCTCTCATTCTGGTCGGAGTGGGTGGAGAGGTCAGGGTCGAAGAGCATGAGTGGCACCGAGGTCTCCGTGTCCCATCGGGTCAGGGTGATGGCGGGAAGGGAGGTGAGGGCAGGCAGGACGTACGGGATGTCCGTGTCGTCCGGAATGGTGGGGAGGGACGAGCGTCTGCTCACCGTCGAAGAGCGCGACTTGGTGGAGCGTGACTTGAGAGTGGGCCACTTGAGAGAGGGGGTCTTGGCAGTGAGGGCCTTGCGCGTGGCGGGCTTGGTGGGCTCGGTGGGCGCGGTGACGGCCCGAGACGACTCGTTGGAGCAGATGCTAGCGTTGCTGGACGACCGGCTGCCGCACCCGACGATGTTGGTGGCGGTCGCCTCTGCGAGGTCCTCCTTGAGGTCGTTGTCGCGAATGAGTACCGGCTCCGCCTTGTCGGCATGGTACAGCTCGATGAGTTGCCACTCGTCGGCTTCGCGAGTGTCCTCGGCCTTGAAGGCCTCGGTGTCAGAGATGGCCACAGCCTCGGAGGGGGCCTCGGCCTCCTCCTTGATCTCCATGATCTCCTCGATCTCCTCCTCCTCCTCGATTTCCTCCTCCTTAATGTCCTCCTCCTCGACCGCCTCCTTCTCCTCCACCTCCACCTCGTCACCCTCCGCCTCCGCCTCCGCCTCGTCACCCTCCACCTCCTCAACACTCACAAGCCCCTCGCCCTCCTCCGCGATCGTCGCCAACCCGACCTCCACCCCCTCCGCGTCCTCACAGAACGAGAGATAGACCCCCAACGCCTCTTCTGCACTCACACACGGGCTGAGAAGAATGTCCGTGAGAGGCGGCGACGGCGAGAAGTCGCCAAAGACCTCGAACCACGCCTCCTCGAGCGCGCAGAACAGCTGGCGCACCATGCGGCGCGGCTGTTTGTTCAGCTCGCTCATGGTGGGCAGGGTGGACGCGGGCATGTCGAGCGGCAGCGCGGCCTCGAGGCGCTCCAGGAAACGGTCGTTGAGCTGGCCCATTGGGTGTGGGTGTGAAGTTGTGTGGAAGTGAAGTCGTGTGAGAGTGAAGTGGGGTGAGAGCGAAGTTGTCTGTGAGAGTGAAGATGTGCGTGAATGAAGCTGTGTGGGAGTAAGTGTGCGTGTGGAATTGGAGGGGGGGGGAGGGGGATGATGATGGACGAGCGGCTTGTATACCTTTCGCGCTGGGGGCGGGAGGCCGCCAAACATGTACAGAGACATCTCGCCCCGTGTTTACGAGCACACATGTCCCACCATTTGTGTGTGTTGTCACCTTATCCCACCATCGGACATCACCTGCCTTCCCAGCGCGCGCCGCGCGTTCTCACCGGGCCGTGGGCGCGGGCTGTCGACCGCAGCCGCTCTCCCGCCTGCCTGCCCACGTCCCACCGCCGCAAGGCTGCCGATTGGAGGCCCGCACCATCCGTTCGTCTCGGAAAGTGGGGGAACCACACACTCCCATCTGTGATCAGCCATCAGTAGTTGCCGGTCAGCCATCCCCTTCAGATCTGGGGTCAGAATCAGTAGACACGCACCCACCCCTCCCATCTCCATCTCCCCCGCCATGTCACATCTGCATCACCGAGGTATCTAACACCCCCACCGCGAGCCGAGATCCTAGAGCATGAACGTAAGCGGCTGCTCCATGTACCCCTTGAACGCGTTAAGCCAGCGGGATGCGACGGCGCCGTCGACGGTCCGGTGGTCGCTCGACAGCGTGACGTTCATAACATTGACGACCTTGAACCCCTTCTCCTCCTCAGGCGCTGGTACGAGCTTCTGCGTCGTCGCGCCAACAGCAAGGATGCACGATTGCGGGGGGTTGATGATGGCCGTAAAGTGAGAGACACCGTACATGCCGAGGTTGGAAATGGTGAACGAGCCGCCCTGGTACTCTTCAGGCTTGAGCTTGCCGTCGCGCGCCTTGGTGGCCAATGCCTTGGTCTCGGCGCTGATGGTCGCGAGGCCCTTGGACCCGGCGTCCTTGACGATGGGGGTGATCAGACCCGTGGGGGTGGCCACGGCGACGGAGATGTCGGCCTTCTTGTAACTGGAGTCAGCCATGATTGCTCAATTAGCCTCGGTGGCTGCTCTCTCCCACACTCACGTCCGGATAGTCTCTCCCAGCCATGCCGAGTTCGCCTCTGGCACGTCGCCGAGAGCAAGGGCCGACGCCTTGACGATAAAGTCGTTAACCGAGAGCCTTGACTTGCCCTCGCTCGCCTTGTTGAACACCTGGCGAAGCTTAAGTAGACGGTCCATGTTGATCTCCACGGTGACGTAGTAGTGAGGCACCTGCTGCTTGCTCTCGGTCAGGCGTTGGCCGATAACCCTCCGCATGTTGGAGACGGGCACCTCGTCAAACTCGGCAGCTGCGGGGGCAGCTGAAGCCGCGGCAGGAGCAGCAGCCGCTGGGGCGGCAGCACCCTTGTAGCCCTCAACGTCGGACTAGAGCATGAGCAAAAGATCGGACTGTAGATCGGGGCGAGCTCAGGCAAACGCCCCGGCAGCGTGGTGACTCACCTTCTGGATAAGGCCGTCCGGGCCGGTACCCTTGACCTGGCCCAATGGAATGCCCTTCTCAAGCGCAATCTTGCGAGCGATGGGGGTCGCGAAGAACTTGGGCTTGTCGGCGCCCTGGGGAGCCTTGACCGGGGTGCCTTGGCTGACCTGGGCGTCGCCCTTGGCAACAGGCTTGTCCTCTGGAACGTCCTTCTTCGGCGCCTCCTCCTTCTTCGCCTCGTCCTTCTTGGAGGCGGGTGCGTCGTCCTCGTGCGGAATGGCAGGTGCGGCGTCGTCGCCCTCGCTCGCCAGCTTGTCTGCCCCTGAGAGGTCGTCGCCTTCCTCAGCAATGATAGCGATAGTGCTTCCGACCTGGATGCCCTTGGAGCCGTCCTGCTTCTGTCCCGTTAGCGCACGCCGTTGGAGCCAGAGTGACTCACAAGAATCTTGGCCAGCACACCATCGTCCTGCGCCTCGACATCGATTGTAGCCTTGTCCGTCTCAATCTCAAGAAGCACGTCGCCGGCAGCGAAGGTCTCGCCCTCCTTCTTCTTCCAGGCCGCGATGCCGCCTTCGGTCATGGTTGGCGACATGGCGGGCATCTTAAACTTCTCGAGGGCGGCCACGGCAGCCGACGCGTGAAGGTCTAGTGTGAGCTGGGTTCGAGATGCGGTGCGGATTGGAATGGGTGTGCGATTTGGAACACGATGGCATAATGATGTTTACTCACTGCGAGCATAGGCAGAGGAGATGGCTGTACGCCGTGCGACGGTGGCCAAGCGGAGCATGGTGAGTTTGGGGAGGAGATGAGAAAGCCGGAGTGAATGAGAATGAGAGGATTGAAAGAGGAGCGAGAGATTGAGAGACATCACATGGCATGGCATGGCTTGTGGGGTGAGGCAAGGCGACGGTGACGGTGACGGCGGCGCGGTGGGGCGGCAAGCGGATGCGGATTGCCGCACGCCCACCCTGCAGAGTGACGATTTGCCGTGCCGGGCCGTTTCACCCCGCTGGCCGCTGGAGCTTGCCGCCGGCACTGGCTCCCGCACTCGCATGCCACTGCCGCACGAAATGCCGAACGTGGCACTCACTGGGAACTGCATCCCACGATTTCGATTACAGTTGACAATCCTCATTGGCCTCTATCCCTTTTCCAACTCCCGTCCTCCGTCCTCCGTCCTCCGTCCTCCATCCTCTGTGCAGCCGCTTACCCCGTCGCTTACCCCGTCCGTCACCACCGGATTAGTGGGCACTACTACAACTACTACGCAGTAATTCATGTAATGATCTCTCCCACAACACGCATGCTCTCCTCGGTGGTGGAGGTTGGTGTGCTTGTAATCTTGACCCATCTGGCGCGCGGATGACAGCCGTCTCTTCTGGCTCATCTCTTTGCGCGTGTATTGGGCGTCATGTCTCAACGGTTCGAGGATGGAGCATATACAGTATGAACGGTGAATCCATGGATGCATGGGCTGACATGTAGACATGACATGTGCTAGGCGTTCTGTTCAGTCTCGCCTGCATCGTCATGGCACAGTGACGGAATCAAATCATACCTCTGATTCTTCCTCACACTCACAACTTTGTGGGTGGAGGCCCTCCACCTCTGCACCACCCCATTCTCCTCTCCTCTCCTCTCCTCTCCTCTCCTCCCTCTCCTCCACCATGTCTCTCGTACTCCCCGGTCAGCCCCTCCCAGCAGCCTTCAACACCACCCCTTTGCCATCCTGCGGCGTCGGATGCTACGAGCATGACGGCCGCATTCTCGCCTCCGTCGTCGGCAGGCCAGTGCGCGATGGTTCGGTGCGTCCTTCCTCGAGATTGTGCCAGCTGACAACAGACTGTTAGTGTTATTGGGAAACACGACGCCGGCGCCGTGCCCGATATCGGTGCGATTGTGACTGGCCAGGTAAGTGTCGCCTGCGCGTCTCCTTCTCCGAGCCGCGTCTCTTCTCGCTTCACGCCATCATCGCCTGGATGATGATTTAATCGCCCGCGTCGCTGCCACCTTCCCTCCCGGCCACTGACCCCAGGTCTCCCGCCTCTCCCCAACTCAAGCAACCATCATTATTCAAATCGTCAACGACCGCCCCGTCGCCGAGTCAACCGAAGAGACCACCGGCGTCGTGCGGGTCTCCGACATCAGGTTGACGGAACGCGACAAGGTCCGTATGGCCGATTGCTTCCGTCTCGGTGACATTGTCAAGGCAAAAGTCATGTCCCTCGGTGATGCGCGCAGCTACTACCTCTCCACAGCGGCGAACGAGCTTGGCGTGGTGTATGCAACATCCGAAGATGGTGAGTTTCGCCTGTGCAATGCAAGCTGATGCCAGGCAACCCCCTCTTGCCCATTTCGTATCAGGAGATGGAGGATCCAGTAACGGGGCGCACAGAGAAGCGCAAGGTCGCCAAGCCGGAGGGAGTGTAATCGGCGTCAGTTGCAAAGGTTGAGCTAAGCCAGCTGAGCGTTGTTGTTGCAGCCCCGATCTAGAGGACAGGATAGGATACCACTATGCATGTACAATAGCCAGCAGCACTAGTCCTCGCGATCGAGGAAGGCTGCGCCCGAGTCGTTGGCGATCTTGCGGTTGAAGTTGTCAAACCACCGCTGGAAAACGGAGAGTGGGATTGGCGTCTCCGGCGTGAGCTTGACGTCGCCGCCGAAAGAGTGGAGGTAGTTGAAGAGCTGGTGTCAGGCGTGTCAGACAGGGAGGTTGGGTCATGGGAGGAGTCGTGGATGAAAAGAGCAGCTTTCCTCATTCGGGCACACACTCACGTTCTTGACGATCTTTTGCGCGACCAAGCCCACGTCAACGCGCTGCGCAACCTCGCGTCCCTTGCCCGTCTTCTCAGCGCTGGCCTGCGCGGCAGTCTCGACCGCGCCAATTGTCGCAACCTCGATGCCGATCTGTGCGGGCGCGTTCGCGACCGTCCCCGGCGCCACGCCTGGCGGGAGGTGTCCGCGCACCTTGTAAATCGCCGATGGGCGCGCATTAGTCAGGCTGGTGTAAGCGGAGCTGGTTCGGCAGCCCCCGCGACTAGGCCACTCACGTCCCAAGCAGGAAGTACTCGCCGCCCGGCCAAGCGAAGTGCACCGTTGCGCCATACCCCTCTGGAAAGGGCACTGCCGTCAGCCACACCCCGAGGAGGAGAAGGAGGAGGAGACGCACTCTCGCCCGTGAGGAATACCGTGAGGTAGTTGATATCGTATGGTCTTTCGAGAGTGAACACGAAGTGTGTGTCGTCGCTAGCGTGAGCTCGCTGCTCGCCCGCCGTTCACTGCACCCATGCAATGGAGATAGGGTGAAAGAAGCACTCACATCCGCTGCATGTTGGTTTGGACCAGGCGGCCCGCGACGATGGCCCCGAACATTGTGATGTGTTGAGAGCTGCGGAGGTCGGAAGTGAAGTGTGGAATTCCACAATGCGATCCGAGCTGACATCATGTTACCGACCCTGCCGCGGGGGCGGACGCGGCGACGCGACTGTGGCTGCCATACACCGCCGACGATCGACGAGGAGCCCGACGGCCGCCAAATGCAAGGTGCACCCGATGCGCCGAGGAGGTACGAGGCCGCCGGGCAACGTCTTGCCAGCTTGCAACCTTGCATGCTTGAGACTGAGCCGCATCCGAACAGTGGCCGGTGGCTGCGGGAATGACGATCGTCCACGCGTCCAGCTGTGTTCCCGCATGCCCGCAGCATTCATCATCCATCTCTCCATCGCACCTTGCCTCCCACCTCCGGCCGCCGACGCGTCGCATCGGTCCCCGTCGCTCCGTTCGTTTCGCCACCCATCACTCGCATTAGTCGTCTAGTTAGCGACTCGCGCCCCACTTTGCCCCTGCATCATCCCCACACCTGCGTTCATCACACTCCCACTATCCCACTTGGACACTGTCCACTCCCCTTCCTCCCCCGAAACCAACGACCACCAACAACAACAGCCAACCTAGTCTTTCTCCAAGCACGATGGGCTTCCAGTCTGATATCCGCGACGCGCTGCTCTCACAGCCGAAGAGCTTCAAGAAGAAGAAGGAGTACACCCTCCTCGAGGTGCTGGGGCGCGGCGGCTTCGGCAAGGTCGTCCGCGCCAAATGGAGTCCGCCGGCAGGCGAGAAGAAGGAGGTCGCATTGAAGTGAGTGAGGAGGGAGCGGCACTGGGCGGACTGATCAACGTGATAGCGGCGTGCGTGGGTGGCAAGGAGGTGCGGAACGCTCGCCGCAGCTGCACATTCTACCTTCCATCTCCCAAGTGCCCCGCCCCTCCCCTCCCCTCCCCCTCCCGCCACCCTCTCCGCGTCTCTGCGCAGCCTCTCTAACTCCAGGATCATACCCAAGAAGCTTGTCAAGGACCCGTCGACAGTGATGGACGAGATTAACGTCCTCAAGGACCTGGACAATGACCATATCGTGCACGTCTGGGACCACTTCGAGTCGCGCGACAAGTACTACATCGCGTTCGAGTTGGCCGTCGGCGGAGAACTCTTTGAGCGGATCACGAAGGTCGGGCGCTTCACGGAAAACGACGCCGCAGAGTGTATCCGGTGAGTACCGCGTCTGCTCTGCGCACAGGCCGGCGCGGCTCCGCGACAATACGAGCGGCGCGCTGACCGCAGACAAGTTCTCGAGGCTACGCGATACCTCCACTCCCGCAACATCGTGCATCGCGACCTCAAGCCCGAGAACATTCTGTACAAGACGCAGGCGGCCGACTCTCCGATCGTCATCGCGGACTTCGGGATCGCCAAGCACCTCGAGACGGACGGAGAGGAGGTCACGAGCATGGCGGGCAGCATCGGATACGCCGCACCAGAGGTGCTGCTCGGAAGGCCGCATGGGCTTAAGGTGGACATGTGGAGTATTGGGTGAGTGATCTGCCAGCAGTGTTGAACGCGGGCCGGACGGAAACCTGGGCGCAGTTCCCGCTAGCAGCTGGCGAGCCCCACCTTCCAACTTCCCTCGCTGCACTCGCTTCCTCAACTCTCTCAAACACTGACCCCAGCGTCATCTGCTACACTCTCCTCTGCGGCTACTCCCCATTCCGTTCCGATGACAAGGAGCAGCTCATCCGCGAGACGACCCGGGGCAAGGTAGTCTTCCACGAACGCTTCTGGAAGCACGTCAGTGAGACGGCCCGCGACTTTATCCGCAAGCTCCTTGTCGTGGACCCCAAAGGCCGTCTGTCTGCAAGTGAGGCGCTCGCGCACCCGGTACGTTGGCCTGACTCGCCCGTCCAGTCCCATCTACCCTATCGCTGACACGCAGTGGATGGCCGGCTCCAGCGGCGACGGCACCGATCTCTCCGGGAACATCAGGGACAACTTCAACCCCCGCAAGAAGTGGGCGAACGCGGTGCGCGTTATCAGCGCCACCCGCAAGTTCCAGAAAGCTGGCAGCGGTGCGCCGACGCCTTTGGACAGTGATGAGAGCGACGGGGGGTTCAAGACGGCCGAGTCGGATGACGAGTTGCCAGTGTACAAAACGAAGGAGAGTCTCTCGAGTGTAGCTGGGGCGCTCAAGACAAAGAGCGCAACGGAGGAGGTAGAGAAGGACGTCAAGTCGCTGCGAATTGAGTAACATCCTGTCGTCACCCCCCTCCCGCCCCTTGTCCCCTGGCCGTAGACCTGTCCACGAACACAATGCCAATGTATCAGTATGCTACCTTCTGCATCATCTACTGGCCGGCGAGCTTGGTGAGCGCGGCCGCGACGTCCTTTTCGGAGAGGTTCTCGAGGCCTGTCTGCGCCTCAACGCCGCGGTCTTGGGTCAGCGCTGGGGGAGGGTAGGAGGAAGCGATGCGGAACGCTGCTGCATTCTCCGACAGGCTGCCTCCAGACAAAGCACTCACCGAAGCGTACAAATGCGCGCGGTGCCACACCCTGCGCCTCGCGGACGAGGACCTTGACGTCGGGGTTGGACGACTTGAGCGCGGGGTACGACGACTTGATGAATTGCCTGTGGTCAGCTAGGGGTGTTCACGGGAACACGGAGGGCGCAGCGGCAAAGCAAGGAGGGCGACCGGCGAAGGCGAAGATGCTGGCGACCCAGCAGCGATGCTTGCGCTCATGTGCTCAGAGCTTGCCAGCAACAGATCCAGCACACTCCTGCGCGCCTTCGTCCGCGCGCGCCCGCCGCCTGCCGCTCGCTTGACTCACCGCACACCAGCCGACGCGGCCGAGTTCTGGCAGAGGTGGAGACGGAGCTCCTTGACGGCCTTGGGGAGCTGCTTGAAGGACATGGCGGGGTGGATGAGACCGAAGTGTCGAATGCGCGGATCGTCAATGGACGGCGATGGAGGAGAGGAGGGCGGAAGCAGAGCCACGCGGATGGAAAGCCATGCGAAGATGAGAATGGCAGCCGTGGGAAAGTAGACTGGGCGGTTGGCAATTACCCCGCATCACCCCCGCAACCTCAAAATCGAGGCACTCCAGCGGCACAAGTGGGGCAGGCAGTTTGGCCCTGATTTTCCGTCCTCTTTTCGTCAATTTATCCCACTCCTTTTGTAATGCGCTAATGGTGACACACTAATCTCTCGTGCCCCCATTGCAATAGCGGGAGCAAAATCTCGACGGGCGTCCAAACTGCCCTCGTCGCTGTCGACTCTCGTCTTGTCGTTCTCTCGTTCTGTCCTCCAACTCCTCCTCACCACCAAAAAACCAGCAGCAAAAATGGGCGAGCCTCTCGCGTTCAAGGGATCTCTTGCCGGCCACTCGGGCTGGGTCACCGCCATCGCCACCTCGTCCGAGAACCCGGACATGATCCTCACCTCGTCGCGTGGTGAGTAGCGGGCGTGGAGACGGGCGAAAACTTTGAGGGAATACGCTGACGGCAAGACAAGACCATCATCGTCTGGCAGCTCTCGCGTGATGAGTCGTCGTTCGGCTTCCCCAAGAAGATCCTCCACGGCCACAACCACTTCGTCTCGGACGTTGTCATCTCGTCGGACGGCCAGTTCGCCCTCTCGTCGTCGTGGGACAAGACCCTCCGCCTCTGGGACCTCAACACCGGCCTGACCACCCGCAAGTTTGTCGGCCACACCGGCGACGTCCTCTCGTGAGTATTCCCGGCACCAGCAACAGCAACATGATGCGATCTCTATATTTGCTACTTCAGAGGGCTTGCCCGATGAGACCAACTTTCCACCAAGATCTCTGATCCTCCCGCCGTGTCGTGAGATGCGCTGACACGCAGCGTCTCGTTCTCGGCCGACAACCGCCAGATCGTCTCGGCTTCGCGTGACCGCACCATCAAGCTCTGGAACACCCTCGGCGAGTGCAAGTTCAACATTGTTGACGACGGCCACTCGGAGTGGGTCTCGTGCGTCCGCTTCTCGCCCAACCCCGTCATCCCCGTTATTGTCTCGGCCGGCTGGGACAAGGTCGTCAAGGTAAGTCGCCCCGCGCCCCCCGACATGATGTTATCGATATATTTGCTACTTCAGAGGGCTTGCCCAATGAGACAACATATCCACCAAGATCTCTGATCCTCCTTTTTCTCCGTATCTGGGACAGCGCTAACCCAAGGTCTGGGAGCTCTCGAAGTGCAAGCTCAAGACCAACCACTTCGGCCACACCGGCTACATCAACACCCTCGCCGTTTCGCCCGACGGCTCGCTCGCCGCCTCGGGCGGCAAGGACGGCATCGTCATGCTCTGGGACCTCAACGACGGCAAGCACCTCTACTCGCTCGAGGCCGGCGACATCATCAACTCGCTCGTCTTCTCGCCCAACCGCTACTGGCTCTGCGCCGCCACCTCGACCTCGATCAAGATCTTCGACCTCGAGTCCAAGTCGATCGTCGACGACCTCAAGCCCGACTTCAACGAGCTCTCCGACAAGGCCCGCAAGCCCGAGGCCATGTCCCTCGCCTGGTCGGCCGACGGCCAGACCCTCTTCGCCGGCTACACCGACAACCTCATCCGCGTCTGGGTCGTCACTGTCTAAGCTGATAGTGTATGCAGGGATCTGGGTAGTTGATGCAGACATAGATACAGATGGGGTTGAGTGAAGCGAGGCCCCCTGCTGAGTGAGGGCAGGGGTTACGAGGGTGTGGGTGCGAAGCGCAGCGTGGAGGGTGCAAAAGGTAGCGACAAGCGCAGTGTGTGTCACTTCCAAGGTCACGACTGTGTCGGAGGCAGACAGTGGCAAAGTCGAGACTCTGTTGTGCCGCTGAGTACGAGACCAAAGTCCAAATCGCGGACACACAACGGACACTGCACCAAACAATCGCATGCATCAAGCCATTATCATTATATATTCAGACCACGCCTCGCTGCGCCCTGGCGCCCTCAACGCGTTCAATTAGCCTCACGGCTCACGGCGCCGCGGTAGGCTGCGCTCTTAATCAGCTCGCGCTCCTGCTCGTATCTATCCTGCGGGCTGAGGACCGAGGGCACGGACGGAGCCGCAGCCGAAGCGACGGAGACTGGGGCTGCGCTGGTGGGGGCGGGAGCGGGGGCGGGGGCGGGCACCTCACGCATAGGCGAAGTAGCCGCAAGCGCGGCGCTCCACCCCTCGTCGTAGTTGGGCGGGAAGACGGGAACAGTGCCGGCGTCCGTGTCGTTGAGGGGGACTTCGGGCTTGGGGTCTTCGGGTGCTGTGGTGAGTACTCGGGCACAAAAGCCATGTCAGGGGACTTACACACGGCGGCCTTGCGCTTCTTGATGCGCCAGAAGACGAGGGCGGCGGCGACGATCAGAATGAAGCCAAGTACGCCACCGACGGCCGCGCCGGCAATCACGCCCTTGAACACGCGGTTCTCGTGCGCGCCCACAGGCCAGAGCTCGAACGCGTGGATGTCGAACCAGAGGTATGTCGTGTCGCCACCCGTGCTGCCGAGGTTGGTGAGGGACACGGCGTACGCTTCGCGCGGGTCCAGCGCGGCGGCGTAGAACGTGGTGTTCGGCGTGTTCCACGACACGCTCGTGTCGTGGTACTCGGTGCCGATGCGGCCGGGGGGCGCGGGTGTGATGTCTACGCGGAACGTGCCGTGGTTCCAGCCGCTGGTGCCGTTGATGCGCAGGAAGCGGTGGCCGCGCGGCACCGGGAGTGAGAGGCGCGCATTGCTCTCCCACGTCCCCATGCGCGTGTAGTTCTTGTTTGGCTGCTTGCTGTCCCAGCCCACCGCGTTGCCGGGCACCCAGTTCTGCTCGAGCACCATGGGCACGTCCGGGTTCTTCATTGCGTACGGGTGCGGCTCGGATGTGTTGGTCGGCAGGGCGAGGTTGAGGATTGTCGGATTCGCGGCGGAGAAAGCAATGTTGTCGGCGCTGGAGTTAGTAGTGCGACAAAGATGAAGGCTCACCTTCCGTCAAGGTCCATGTATACGACCATGTGCGTGAACGCGACGTTGCCCCAGAGCGGAACGAGGCCGACAGTGTGGTTGCCAAGCAGGAACTTGGCCTCACCGAGCTTGACGGGCTTGTCCGAGTCATACTCGCCATTGACCGTGCCCGAGGCCTGCATAACGGTATTGTTCCAGTTGTCGAGGACGGCGGCGCCGCCCTGCTGCTCCGGCCCACCCGGCGCACCCCAGTATCCCCAGAACTCGATGCCTGTACCGTAGAAGTTGAAGTCGGCGCGCGCCGGGCAGTCTTTGCCACCACACTTGTACTTGGGTCCGCTCGCGACCGTCGTGTTGGGTGCCGCGAATTCGTCCATTCGCACGATGCGGTAGCCTTCGCCCCACCCGACATTGTCGGTGCCGTTCACCCACGACGTCCAGGGCGTGTTGGCGAACGTCGCGTTCCAGGTGTTGCGCGCGACACCAGGATAGTGCGGCGTGTACTTGATAGCGGAGGTGAAGGCGTCCATGTGGATTGGGAAGGGGGTGGCCGTGGCAAGAGCCACTAGGGCCAGAAAGACCAGAAGAGGGAGCATTGTGGTGCTTGTATCACCAAGATGAGGAGGAGGGTGGAGAGGAGATGTCCACGGTGAGTCGTGGTAATACCCAAGACGAGGAGGCTGTGCGAGAGAAAAGTGAGTGATGAGCAAGTGAGAGGTGGTCAGTCGCGAGACAATAAGTGGGGAAAATGAGACGAGGCCTGAGACGCAGACTCTTGCCAAGAGCACACCTCCGCACACACCGGGAACATGCCGGGCAAGGGGGGGCACCACCCGCCTCGGATGTCAGAAGGTGCGCGCCGCACAGTCCGCCGAGTGCCAACTTCATGCCCGGTTTCACGGAGTGGGCTGCGGGCCTCGGTAAGCGCGAGGACTCGAGCAAGGCCGCAGCTGGAAGAACGGAGGCATAGATCTGTTGCACCCCAGTTGAGTTTGACGCCGACGGGTGCGGAGGTCTGTGCGCACGAGCTCAGTCCACCGACCAGGCACGACGGCGCTGAGTGTGTGAGACACATCGATGAAGGGTCAGAAGTCAAAGGAGGACAAACAGTTGCACACAGTTGCACATTGAGTACATGCTCGGAGTAAGGCAGGTGCAAGGAATGCCGCGCCAAGATGGCTGGCTCCCCAACGACCCTCTGCGGCATCACACCTTTGAGCTCACGCCTCCTCCTTTGAGTCACAGTCGTTTTGTGGGCGACCTTAGGCCTCAGACTCGCCCTCGTCGTCATTCTCGTCCTCATCGTCCTCATCGTCATCGTCACCTTCGTCGTCTCCGTCGTGGTCGCCATCGCTCCCTCCCTCGACGCGCACGACCCCCAAAGAACGAAACAGGTCGAGGACAGCCTCGCGGGGTTCCCCGCCTTGCTGGCTTCGCAGCATAGTGACGAGCATCTGTACGGCGCTCACATCCGCGAAGATGCTCGAGGGCCTGGGTGCCGAGCGCGCCAGGTTGCGCTCAATGATTGCGTCCGCGTCGGACGTTCGGTTAAAGGAGGGATTAGGGTGGCGTGTCACTGGCGCGAACATCTGGAGTGAGCAAGCTGTCAATTACCCACTGGGTTGATGGAAAACCCCTCTCCGGAACCCACCTTGACTGTGTTGTCAATCCCGCTTACGGCGACAACTGGAAGGGTAGGGTGCTGCTCCATCACTACAATCAGCATCCGTTTCTCAGCCTCAGCTTACCATTAACAATGTCGCTGTCTGCCCACCAGATGCCGGCTAGCCGCCCGGTTTCCTTGTCCCAGACAAACCAATTGCCGTCGTCACTCCCCGATGCAACCTTATCGCTGCTGTCGCCCAAAAAGTTGCCTGATATCAGGTCTCTCATCAGCACAAATGCTCACAATCCTTGACTGTATCAATGTTGCGTGCGCCCCGGTAGCTGCGGCGCGGATACAGCACGTCCACACCCCTAAACTCGCCTTCGGAGCTAGGCGCGCCGTTTCGGACATTGAGCTCCGAGCCGTCGGACGAATCGTTCTCGGTAGGCCAGCCATCATCGCTCGTCTCCGTGTCACTCTCCGACATCTCTTCGTCATCGTCGAGCTCCATTGCCATGCTTGCAAGCAGATCCCTCGCGCCGTCGACGCCTGTCATGATAGCGTCAAGCTCGTCCTCCGAACCCTCCTCCGACTCGCGGATGAAATTTGCCAAGTCGAGCACCTCGTCTGGTCCTTCTTCTATGCGTCAGTGACACAAAGCACATTCTACTCACCCCACTCGGTACCCAGCGGGCGACGATCCCTCGGCCGTTCTGACCTTGGAGAGCGCGCATCTTCGATCGGAGGGGAAGGGGGCGGACTGCGCAGGAAGCGAGCCAACCTCGGCGCCATCTCATCGTCTGGCTCCGTCCTCTCTGTACGCGGTCGCGATCCGCTACCAGCACGCGACTCAGGATGCGAGACGGAGGAGATGCGACGCTTGGGCACACCATGTCTCACTCTAGACCCAGAAAGCGCTATGTTAAGCCGCTCGCCTGGCCCCTCGCCTGTATGCCGGTCCTCCTCGTCTCCCGGGCCTCTCCCTTCCGCACCGTTCATTCCATCCCGCTTTCTCTCCGCCTTGTGAGTGTTTGACTCGGGGTTGGGGGGCACGACGCTACCGTGGTGCACACGTGCACTCGACTCGGCCGGAGAGTCATTCAACGAGAATAGCGATGTTGAATGGCGGGCAAACGCGCAGATGACCTATTATCAGCGCGATGCAAAGTACCGCGAGTCTCACCTCGCCTGCGTGATCGGCGCTCATCTTCACACACGTTATGTGCCGCTCATGAAACGCGGCATTCCTGCGCTCCACGCTCTCCCACTCGGCCTGTGGCAGGGCGAGACGGCGAACGCAAGTGACCTGTTCCGCACGCCTGGTATGTTTTCCCCAGCTAGGTGTCTGGTGCTCAGGTTTCCGCCGATCACAGATGTACGCGCAGTCGGTCTGGCCGGCAACGGCGAAAAGGTGGGGCGTCAGAGGCGATACACTCAGCGAGTAGAGGTCCACCTGAGGCGGTGCTCGAAACAATGGAGGAGGACACTCTTCCCTGCACGCATGGGGGCGACGCAAATCGTGTTGCCGCACCGTCCCGTCCTCGGAGACTGATAAGAAAAGAAAGGGGCTTGCCTCAGTAGCAATCCTCTTGGTTCGGTCGCGGTGACATTCGAGCACGCGCACGCCTGGTCCGTCGACTCCCCAAAGCGCCCCCCGCACCCGGCGGACGAACGGCAAGGACATTCCCTCGGCGGGCCGCAAACGCTCAACCTCAAAAACCCTAATATCGCCGTCGCCGGCGCAGGACACAATGGTCGGCGTACTCGAGTTTGGGAGGAAGCGGCAGGAGAAGATGTTGGCTCGGTGTCCGGTGAGGATGGTGCCCGAGTGCTTGAGAGGATGCGGAGAGAGCTGTGCGGCGGGTGCATCTCTGCGCGTGTCTGGTGTCCAAATGCAGATGCTGCTGTGAGTTGGGTGAAGGAAGGCAACTGTGCAGGGGTGAGTCCAACTTACCGCTGGTCGTCCGAGCCGGTGAGGAGTGTAGCGCCATCATCGGACCAGCTGAGCGCGTTGACGCATCTGTTGTCAGCTATGGTCGAGCATCTGTAGCAGAAAAGGAGAACGCCAGAGTGCATTTTGGTCTCGGCGTACCGACTGCCGTTGCGAAAGAGGGGCAGCCAGACATAGGAGATCATAGCTCTTGGAGGCTTGTGCGATTGCTGTATCCAAATAACCAGACTCCCAAACTTACCCAGAATGTCCCTCGCCATTTTCGCCGAGCTCCTGCACGCGATCAAGACGAGGCCACGCGTCTGCGAACACGCCGCGGCGCCGCGTGGGGGTGCGTGACGTCAGGCTGCGCGGAAGAGGATGGAGGGAATGGGACTGGCGCCGGGGCATGGTCGTGTCTAAAGTGGAGAGGTTGATTGCACGATGAGGAGGGAGAGAGGTAAATGCTGAGAATGGGTGCGAGGAGGGTTATGTAGTTATGGCGACGGGTTCCACAGGGAAGTGCGGAACGACGACCCCGCTCGGCCGTCAAGTGCGAGCGTAAGAGGGTCCCGATGTCGAGGATGATTAGGAGACTGTGGCTGCTGTGGATGACAAACAGTCGATGCGCAAACGAGTGGATAACGAAGAGGGATAGTACGATGCTGAGCGAGGATGAAGAAGAAGAGGAAGACGAGGAAAGAGTTGAGCTCGGATGGAGAATGACACAGAGGGCATGGGAGAGTGGCGGCAAGTTGGGGTATGGGAATGACAACTGCGGGGCCCTTTGCCACGTGTCGCTCTGAGTAGACTCTTGCATGATTGCATGATTTGCATGCGCATGCGCAAATGTACGATCTTGCCGATACTCCGCGACAGCACCCTCGGCTCCTCAACCCCGAAAGACTCTGAACGAGCAACAGCGTACACCGGCGTCGGCGACTTCGGCACGAAAGGTGGAGGTACAGCCGCTGAACGCGCCCGTTCTCCTTCCGCAACATGGTCACCACGTGACCTTGTCTTAATCTGCTCCCGCACCTCCACTTGAGCGTCAAGAATTTCAGAATCGCTCACCAACAACACTCATCCCTCACCCCACACCCACCATGGCGCGCCCAACAAAGCAGTTCAAGAAGTTTGTGGCCTCGGGAAAGCTCAAGGAGACGATCTCCAAGCGGCGCTCGGCCGCGCAGAGCAAGAAGAAGTTCGAGGGCCAGAAGACACAGCGGCGGCTGCAACGTGGCGCGGTGCGCCCGGAGCACGAGCTTTCGGACGAGGGCGAGGGCGAGGACGAGGATGAGAGCCCGGACTTTGAGGGCGGCGTCAGGGGCGGAAAGGCGGGAGGCGTAGCCAAGACGGTGGACGAGCTGTTTGGCGCGGGAGGGCTGGACGTGCCCATCGAGGAGGGCAGTGATTTGGAGGACATCTCCGAGGACGACGAGGATGACGGCGAGGAGAGCGAAGGAGAGGAAGAGGAGGGGGAGGAGGCAGACCTCGACGAGGAGGCTATGGCTAAGGCTATGGCCGAGCTCGAGAAGAAGGACCCCGAGTTCTTCAAGCACTTGAAGGCTGAAGACCCCGACCTGCTCAACTTTGGCAAGATGGATGTCGACGAGGACGTGGAGGACGAGGAGGAAGACGAGGAGATGGACGTGGCCGAGGATGAGGATGTCGAGGACGATGAGCCGCGCAAGACGGTCGTGACGATGCGCATGCTGCGCGGCTGGCGCGAGGGCATGTTGAAGGTGAGCTTCCGATACGGCGACAACGCTGACCGCAGCAACACTCGCTCCGATCGCTGCGCAAGATGCTCATGGCGTTCCGCGCGGCGGCGCACATGAACGAAGACAGCGAGGAGCAGGGGACCGGCCTCGACCTGCGGTACACGATCCCCTCTGCGGCCGTGTTCAACCGCCTCGTGGTGACAGCTCTCAAGTTTACGCCAGTGGTGCTCGCGCACCACAAGCCGTTCAAGGTGCTGCCCAACGGGCGGATCAAGCTGCAGGCGAGCAAGGCGCCGGTGACGCTGGACCGGCTCATCCTCAGCCACTTCTCGACGCTGCTCCACCTCCTCAAGCAGCTTCCTTCGACCCCGAGCGCGCTCGGCGAGGAGGAGGAGGGGGCCGGTGGCTTGCTCGCTCTCGCAGTGAGCGAGAGCGCCAAGCTTCTCCCCTGGGTCCTCGGAGCGCGCAAGCACATCCGCGCGTATCTCAAGACGCTGCTCGATCTTTGGGCGTCGGCCTCGGACAGCGTGCGCGTCGCTTCGTTCCTCGCAATCCGCAAGATGTTCATCATGGGCGACGACGGAATCAAGGACCTCGCCCTCCGCAACATCTACAAGGCGCTCTTGCCCCCGCTCCGCCTCACTTCGGTGCACACTCTTCCCAGCTTGAACCTGATGAAGAACTCGGCGAGCGAGCTATACCAGCTCGAGCCGGCGTTGTCGTACCAGCACGCGTTCACCTTCATCCGCATGCTTGCCGTGCATCTGCGCAACGTCGTGCGCTCTTCCACATCTGGCAAGGCGGGCGAGGACGGCGCCGCCTTCCGTGCAGTATACAACTGGGCGTTTGTGCACGCCATCGACTTCTGGAGCCAGGTGCTCTCCGGTGCAGCGGGAATTGAGGCGCAGGCGGCGCGCGGCGGCCTCGAGAGCCCCCTCAAGCCGCTCATCTATCCGCTTGTGCAGGTGGCGCTCGGGGTCGTCCGCCTTCTCCCAAGCAGCCGCTACTTCCCGCTGCGTTTCCACGTCCTCTCCTCCCTTGTCCGCCTCGTGTCTCTGACGGGCACGTACATCCCCCTGGCGCCATTCATGCTCGAGATCCTCGACAGCGCCGAGTTCCGGAAAGCGAACCCGAAGAAGGCGACGCTCAAGCCACTCGACTTTGCATACGTGATCCGCGCCCCTGCGGCCTACCCCAAAACGCGCGTGTACCAGGACGGGCTGGGCGAGGAGCTCGTCTTCCTGCTGGGCGAGTACCACGCGACGCTGGCGACCGACGTCGCTTTCCCCGAGATCGCGCTGCCCGTAGTAATGAGCATCCGGCGGCACATTAAGCGCGGGAGCGCGGGCTCGCCCAAGACGGCCAACCAGCTCAAGGCGTTGGCAGACAAGATCGACGCGAACCGCGCGTGGGTCGAGGCCAAGCGGCGCAACGTGAGCTTTGCGCCGCGCGACAGGAGTGAGCTCGCACGCTTTTGCGAGGGCGTCAAGCCGGAAACGACGCCGCTCGGCGGGTGGGTCCGCATCCAGCGCAAGGCGCGTGAGGCCAAGCGCCGCGAGGTGGAGAAGGCGCTGCGGGAGGAGCGCGAGGAGTAGGGCGCGGCGGCGAGCAGTAGGCGGTGAGCAAGGTGTGTGCGTGCGCGTGCGCGTGCGTCGATCGCCCGTCGATGCGTCTGCTGTGCACGGCACGCAGAGTTGGATAGAGCTATGTAGTTTTTGCATCTGTAACCTGGAGAACTGGGCGGCACGAGCGGCATGGAAGCAGACTTTTCAAGGAGGGCTCGAAGCTCCCCGACAACATCTCTGCCATGCGGCGTCGGATTTTTCATCAACACATGGCTCGGCCCTTCATGAAGTAGACTTGGATAGGTACCTGCGGGAGCTCGACTGCCGCCCTCTCACCAGCAGGCCTGACGAGAGACTACTCCTAGTGGGGTGTGGTACTCAAGTCTGGCAGTCATTGGTGCTGTTTGTGATGGCCCTCCCTACCTGAACGCTTTAACCCGTACACTACTAGCAGTTCTACTTAGAGCTAGATCTCGGCCGGGGCCATCACACAGAACTATGGTGTACGCACCATTCATAAGTATTGCCACGCAAGGGATAGGGCTGGGTAGCTGGGTGGCGAGCATGACAATGCCATGATCGTGATGCGTGGGTATCACATGAGCGATGCCATCCATGGTGGACATATGTGGACGGTGTCCAGTGGTCGTTGTGGTTTGGATCATCACAAGAGGGTGGCGAGATGGAGACGATTGTCGACCAATATGACTGCATAATCTGCACTCTCTCATCCTCTCTGTCGACTGTCCCAACTTGACCAACTTGTCTTTTACTTTGTCATCCTCGCACACTCACACCCTTATACTATACTGGAGTGTGACGCATGGGCCTGCGGCGATGGCCACCAGTCGCGAGCGCGTGAGCAAGGGAGATCGCCATTCCTCGGTCGGTGCTCGCTTCGTCTCCCAATCTTGTAGCTGCCAGGTTTAATAAGCTTTCCGCCTGCATGCTCCATGTGCTGCCTCTCTCGCTCGCTAGTACAGTACATGGCCCGGAGCACGCGTCGTCCGCCGCTCGGCGTGACTCGGCGGCACCGCGAAAATGTAGCATGTGGGTCGGGTTGTGTTGTGGCACCGCCGAGTGGCTGGCCGCCAGAGGGGATCGTGCCACACAGCACCGCCGCTGTGCGTGTGTAATAAGCGTACGAGATCTCGTCGTTGTTCGGACCCCTTGCTAGCTCCTCGCGCCCTCGCTCAACGTTGATTTGCGCCTCGTCGCTCATCGGCTCCCCTCGAACGGACACACCCCATGCATGCAAACGCCCCCTGCTCACAATGGGCAGTGATCGCACAGTGACCGAGAGCGTTGGGCGGTCACCGCTCATCGTTGCTGTGCTTTTCTCTCTCTTCCTCGCTCCTTGCTCAGTGACCGTCGGCCGTCGTTCTCACCACCCCCCTCTTCATTTTGACACTCGCCATTCTTCCTCTTCGCATTCTCTGACCTTTTTACTGCGACGCTCCGGTGTATAGATCGTCAAGGTCGCCTCGACTCGGTTGCACAAGAACGCGAACAATCTCTCCCTCGTCTCCATCCCCCTCCGTACCTTGCCAGCTGCCAGGTGCTAGCATCGACTCCCGCACCTTTGCCGCTCGCCACTCCTCGCCATGGCCGTCCCAAACTGCTTCACCGAAGTCCGCATCCCCGACACGTCTCCGCTCATCCGCTACATCGGGAGCTGGAAGGTCTACTATTCCTCATCTTCAGATTCCGTATGGGAAGCGGGTATGATGGGCACTGGCGACTCCGTCCACGCAACCAACCAGGTGGACGACTTGGCCTACTTTGAGTATCCTGGCATTTCATCCGTTATGGAGGGCCAAGTTCTGGGCGGCGACGGGGTGCGGTACACGCTCAATGGCGTGCAAAAGCAGGTAGACATTAGTCGGTCCACAGGCAACGTCTCGACGTGGAGCGCCGCCAGTGGCCAGCAGGATGTCGGTGTCCACACCGCCATGATTGAGGTGACGAAGAGTGACCCATCGTTCCTCACCGGCGTCAAGTCCGTTTCCTCAGTCGTGGGCATTATTGCTGAGACGTAAGTAATCACGTATCCCTCTGCCGCGCTTCGTTCCTTCCTTCCGAGTTTGCTCCTCCCCTCAATCAGCACTTGCGCCTTGCTTGAGGCCGACTCGCCCATTGCTTACAACAGTACCGATCCCAACCTCCTCTCCTGCCACGAGACGACGTTCGTCGATGCCTTGCAGTCCAGCCAGCCCCAAGTGCTTCCCAAAGGCCCGTGGCGTCCTCTCAACGAGTTCGGCGGTGTGGGCGGACAGAGGGTGATATCATACAGCTCGATTGTGGCGGATTCGACTGCTTCCATCCAGCTCTTCCCTCCGCGCGGCTCCAACTTCATCTCACTGAACGGCACCGTCGGCTTTGCATACGGCACATACTCCGTCACCGTCGATCCTCCCCTGCCGTCCATCTTTGCGCGTGAGCGCAATGGATTCAACGCTGGCGCGCAGTGGGCCGCTCCAGGCCAGTTGCTGTACTACACGCCTCTGAATCCACAGGAACAGTACACCATCACCGTGACGGGCGACACGGACCCGACCAAATTCCTCGGCCTCCATTCGTGGATGTACTGCGACTATGCCCTTGCGTGAGTACGGCTTGACGCCGGCTAACGACAGCAAGAATGGTGGCGGTGGGGGCGGCAGCGGCAGCGGGGGAGGTAAGAGCAATGTCGGCGCCATCGCCGGCGGAGTCGTAGGCGGCATCCTTGGCGCTGCACTCATCGCCCTTGTCTTCTTCTTGTTCCTGCGCAAGCGCAAGGCTCGCTCTCCGTATGTCACAGGCAGCGGCTCACGACGCTGACCCCAGGCCCGAGGAAGAGCTGTTCACGGTCGACGAGACGATTGACGCGACGACGACGCCGTACGATCCGCCCATCACGCCTCTCGCGCCGCTCTCGCCTCTCGCACGCACTGAGCCCCCAGCCCCCCGCTCAGAGGAGATGCGCGAGTCCGTCGTCTCGGGCTCGACGCTTGTGCCCCAGCTTCTTTCGAAGCGCGAGAGCAGCACGACCTCGGTTCCGCGCAACATCTCGCTTGTCGAGCACCAGGACGCCGGGGCGGTGGAGCCCGCCGCGGTCGAGCACCTCCCGCCGTCGTACAACCCAGAATGGTTGGCTACCCGGAGTTCGACGTCGCCGAGCGATGCGGGGCCCTCTAAGCCCACGGCGATGTCGTCGCCGCCGCCACTGCCCGATTCCAAGTCGCCGACGGGCACCTAGACTGTACAGAGTGAGAGTGGTCGTTCGTTGGAGGGTATGAGCATGCTCGTGGTTCGATATTACTTAGTTGGGACTGGGACGGGGAGGGAGGGTTCTGGCCCCCTTGCTGGGGATGGCGGAAGACTTGATATAAGGAACGATGCGAGTCAGGGCGACAGTCTACACTCCGATGGAGTATCCGAGTCTACCAGTCATTGGTGTCGTTGCTGATCGTGACGGCCCGATCTAAACTGCTTTCACCGGTACACCACAAGGTGCAAAAGTGGGGCTATTCAGTCCTCATATTCAGTCATAAAGTGTCTTCTGGAGTACTGGAGTACCCTTGCTAGTATGGGCGGCGAGATATGCACGAGACATGCTTCAGGGCAAGCGATGTGTAGATCTTTGGCTGGAATAGTCCATCATCACAGGAGGAGAGGATGAGAGCATCTGCGGGTGGCATACCGATACCGATACCGATACCGATGCCGTTGTCGTTCTCGGGTGAGGCATAGAGGTAATCGGCATCGGCAGAGGGCATGAATGAGAGCGGGAAGCTGGGCGGAATAATGGAAGCTCGAGCCGAAGCTATCGATCCAGCGATGTGGGCGTTGAGGCGCGGGCACATGAGCCGAGGTGGGCTCGCTTGCGCTTGTTCAATTGCTGACGGGAGACGTTTCGGCATGGCATGGCCGGATACATCCATATGGCGCGTGGATGCATGGAAGGAATCTGCCTGACACTGCTGCTCCCTGGCGGGAGTACCGCTCGGCCAATTGGTTCATCGCCCATGGCATGGCCTGGTCTGCTCTTGCTGCTGCTGCTGCTGCTCGAGCTCCAGCGATGCAGGGCCTGCTGGCTGGCTCGGCTCGCCCGGGCCTCGCCCAAGCCTCAAGCCATAGCGCGTTCGGTCTTCGGGGGCGGCTCTTGGCCGCCTGTCTCTCTTACATGACGCTCCTGCGATCCTGCAACTCCTGTACTCATGTCCTGGGTTGTAACTAGGATTCACCAGGCAGTCAGTCACCGGCCCACCTGCCACCGGCGTCCACCGACGGACGAGGGGTGAGCAATGAGCCAGGGCGTTCGGCCGGGGAACGACGAGTAGGACGAGAGGGCGACAAGAGCACATGTACAGTACAGGAGCACAACGGGCAGCGTTACGGCATTGGATGAATGGAAGGTTTCGAGACTAAAAGATGATGTGATGCGGCCGAAACTCGAAGAGCAGATCAACAGCTCTGCAGATTTGGGCGGGGTGGAGGGCGCGGCGCGGCGCGCGGTGGTCTGTGCGCCAAGGGAAGAGAGAGAGGCATCGACCTCCATCGTCTCCTTTGATCCTCTTCTTCAACGTCGTCGCGTCGCGTCGTCATCTCTTTCTCTTTTCCTCTTCTCCATTACTACTATCTACATCTCTCCATCACCTCCGTACGCCGTCGCCGCCGCCGACGACGACGCCGCCGCCCACGGCAGCACGCAATCTTTACATCGGCGATAACCTCGAGGTTCCAGGTCCAAGGCCCAAGGCACTCGACCTGCTCCTCCTCGTCCTCATCCCTCATCGCTCCCTCGCCGTCATCTCGGCCCTCTTCTGGCGCTATCAAAAACCTTGACTCGCGCTCTCTATCTCCTTGACTGCTCTCCACGACACCGACTCTGAACGACCTCATCTCATTTTGACGTTGCCATTCTCCCATAACGACGTCGACCTTTGGACAATTCGACACGCTGCCTCGATCATCTGGATACATCTGAACCGCGACCCAAAACCCCGCATCAATTCAGTAAGTACGCGTCTCGGCCACGGCCATGGGCATGAGTCATCTCGGGAGGGAGCGAGGAACACGGGAAACGCAGAGCTGGCAAGAGCACGAGGAGGATGATGGCATGAGCCGTAAGAGCCGGCGTCGGGAAGGATTTGATCCACCTTCCCTTGGCATGGCCGCCCGGTGGCTAAAGTGGCGTCCAGTCAACCCTACTCTCTCTCTCCGTCCTCTCCGTCCTCTCCGCTCGCTCTCGCTCTCGCTCTCGGCGTTACTCGCCCCCGGCGTACACACCAGGGCTTGCGCTCCCAAGACATGACCCCTCGTACTCCCCTCTGCGCCACTCGGCACACCCGAAACTCCTCATCAGTCACCCACCCCTCGCACATCAGTCTTTCTTTCCCTCCATCTCCCCCCGCCATGGCCCGCCTCTAACAAACAGCACACACACGCACTCGACTTCACAATGCCTTCAAGTAGACGCATTAGCGCTCGTCGCAGTGGAGTCGAATCACATTCTGTTGGTCTCGAGGACGAACTCAGTTTTGGCTCTGAAGAGGATCTCATGGAGACCATTGGCGAGATTCAAGTCCCAGAAGAGCCACTCGACTCGCGCTCCATTGCATCGGCTTCTTCATCCGCCAGCAAACCTAAACTTCCCAAACTGTCAAAGTCTACCCGCTCCTTTGTCCGTAGTCGCAAGGAGAGCTCCGCCAGCACCAGCTCGTCGAAGACGTCTTTGGCAAGCACCACCCACCTCCTCCCTCCCCTTCCGCCCGTGCCCTCGGGCTCCACCCTCGACCTCCCCGCCGACATGTTCACCGAACGCGAGAGGCCAAGCAGCAGCAAGCGCGGGTCCATCATGGGCGCATTCAAGTCCAAGGGCATGGGCCTGCGCTCCAAGTGGAGAGACGACCACAGCAATCGAAGCAGCTTTGTCACAGACACGCACAGCATGGGCTCCACGTTGAGCCTGAGCAAGATTGGGTCCAATGTTTGTGAGTGCGAGGAGCAAGGAGATTGAGGGGACAACAAGAGACACAGCTCACACCCCCAGCGTCGCGTCCATCCGTGTCGTCGTCCTTTGCCCACACGCCCCACGGTGGGCCGTCCCCTAACTCGACAGTGCCACACCTCGGACCACTTTCCTTTGACCAGTCATCAGACCCTTCCTTCCACTCTGGGCAAAAGCAGCCTCCTGCTGGATCCCACATTGTCCTACACCCCTCGCTCCGCAACCTTGAGAACGCACCGGCCTCGGGCTCGCCCACAAGCAGCATCGGCGGGCACAAGTCTTGGGGCCAGGGAGATGTCGCGAGCGCCATCCTTCCACCCTTCCCTGCCACGATCGGGTCGCTCGAGCCCATTACCGTGTTCAGCGCCGAGGCGTCCAAGCGCACCTCGTCGGCCTCCCGTTCACCCTTCCCGAACCGCTGGTCGCCCTGTACGCTTGTCTTTACGCAGTTCAAGGTGTCGCTCAACAGCGAGGACTCGCCAGGCAGCGACACTGAGCGCACCGTCGCACACATCCATGTGTACTCCAAGTCTGCCCAGGCTGTCAGCGGCATGGCCAGCATGGCAAGTGTCGGGTCGGCGGTGCGACGCACGAGGTCTAACGCTGGCATCAACGGCGAGTCGGCCGGCCGTGTCGAGATCGAGCGTCGCTGGTTGTCGAGATCGACAACAGCAGCCCTATGCGACGACGAGCCAGACGCCGACGGGCGATCTGTCGTGATGCGCATCCTCTGGGGCGATGAGGACGGCGCCACGAGTACCCAGTGGCTCGTTGAGATGAAGGACACGAGGCAGTTGCAGGAGTGGATCCGCCAAATCAAGAAGACGGCGATTATGATCAACGCCGAGGAGCTGGGGTATGGCAGTGCGATCCGTCCAGCATTTGAGACCAAGGGAGTGTCGGCCGACGAGCTGGCGCATCAGCTCAGCCTGCATGCCAGAGCCGTCGCCGAGGGCGGCGCTGGAGGGAAGGCGGGCGGCGCATTGCCTTCGCCGTCCGCCGCCTCTACCGGAGCAGGGAGCGAGGAAGAGCGCCGCCGACCGTCGCTAGATGCGATCCAGGGAGCGCCCTTGGCACGCAGCCACTCGGCGAGCGAGGCCAATGCTCCTAATGGTTCCCTCGGCCGGGCGCACCTCAACACTGGCTCTGAGGAGAAGATGCCTGCTGCTGCACCTGCTGCTGAGGTTGACTGGTTCAACGGGCCGCGGGCCAACGGAAGCTCCACCGGCACTGCCACGCCCAACGACCTGGGAGGTTTGTTTGGTGGCATGAACCTCGGCATGGCGTTCCCCACACCTCCGTCTGATCTGCCGCCTCCAATGCGCCGCAAGCCACCTTCACCCCTCAACACCATCCCTGCGCGCGTCGCGACGCCTCCCGTAACCCACGTATCGGCGTACGACGAGGACGAGGACGTTGCGCCCGCCGCTGCACCGCGTCCACCCACCCCGCCTCTGAAGAAGGAAGAGGTCCTGACCGCGCACCTCCGCAAGCCCGCGAGCGTCGCGTCAGAGACCCCGAGCCAGACGTCGACGACGAGCCGTCTGCGACGCCTGCGGGGCAAGCCGCAGGTGATTGACATCATGGCCGAGTTCAGCGCGGTGGAGGCGGAGAACATGCCCGAGGACGAGGAGGAGCCGATCCGCGAGGACCGCGAGCGGCGGATCCGCTTTGCAGAGGAATAGACGTGTAGCCGCTGCAGTATACCTATACCTGTGCGCTTGTTCTGTGTTATTATGTGCCTGTATGCACTTGTTTTGTACGCGTGACGGCGAGTGAGGTGGGACGACGCGTCGCGTGTGGAGGCGGCAGGGTTGGGGGGCGTGGGTGTGGCGTGGGCCGTTAATCCCAGCAGCGATCAACGAGAATCATTACAAGTTGTACTTTTTAGTAGTATCAGATAAGCATCAGATCAGCGTCGGCCCATGTCGATGCCTCCGTCTCCCCACGCCTGCCGACGTCGAAGCCTGCTTGATGCTTGATGAAGCTCCGAGCTGCGACACCAGCAGCCTCGGGCAAAACACGTCGGCACGCGCCGGCGCCCGGCCGCCCAGGGCGAGGGTGCCAGGGTTCCGAGGCGCCGGCATCGTACCACCTCCCCAAAATTTCGACATTAGGAGGGTTTAGGAACGGATTAATCCGAGTATTCAGCATTTGTTGTCCTCGCTGCATTTGTTGTGACGCCTCCGGTCGCGTTCTCATCTGGTCGTCATCAATCTCCTTGAGATCCTTGAGCCCGGTCCATTCCAGTCCACGCGGATCCACGCAGCGCTGTGACTCTTGCACTCTTGCGCGCAGACGACTCTTCTCCAACTCCCCGCCCACGCGCCGAACCCTGCGCGCGACAAAGAACGTGCCGCATCGTACCACCCGTCCCTGCGACCTGCGCCACATCGGCCACCAACGTCCACACGACTCGCGACTTTATTCTAGATCACAACAAATACTCTACTTTGACTGCGCCGGCACCCAGCTCGCGTCCACACTCTTTATCGTCGCTCTTCGTGCATCTCGAAACCAGCACCAGCGCAAGCGCACCCCGGCCTGCGCTCTCTCCCTCTCTCCCTCCTCTCCCCCTCTCCCCCTCCCTCCCACGGCTCGCCCGCTCGCTCGCCGCCCACCATGGATCTCGTCCTCGAATACTGCGACGAGTACGTCTTCGACGCCGCGTACGCCTACCTCTTCCCCGCCCCCATAACCTTCTCGAACACCACCACCCTCTCCTCCCCCTCCCCCTCCTCCTCCTCCTCGGCATCCCCAAGACACACCTCCTGCTCGTCGGC